TTTTATTACATAATTCAAAACCAAAGCAATCGCACTCGCACCACCACAGACAAAAGAAAAATAAGAAATGAAAGAAACTAACAAATTCCTTTTTTATGGGATAAGCCGGTAAACGAGCAGACGACGAGAGACGGATCACCTGATGGTAAGCAATCGGCGCCGGACGTCCTATGCCCGGTATACTGCGCAATATTATATAAATAATATTTTTTAAGGCTGTAATAGGAGCATATGACAGGCCTTGTGAAAAGAGGAAAGCGCATGCGTCAGTTCAAGAATGGAACTGTAAAGAAACTTTGTTTATGTTTTCAAATAATGTTAATTTGAAAATAGAGAGCGATGATTCGTCAGATTCTTAGTCGATTTTGTCTTAATACAATGACATGTTTAAGTTAATAAATTTAATATTTTTTTTATGGGATAAGCCGGTAAATGAGCAGACGGATCACCTGATGGTAAACAATATGGACCCCGTAACACGCGAGGATGTACAAGTGCGTTTCCGGCCTTTTGGGGATTGGGGAGATTGGGAATTCCTTTTTGTGTTGAAAAGTAGGTAGGTACATTTACCGAAGAAGCTGTGCTTTTTAGCAAAGGCGTGCGGTCCGTGTATAGTATAATATCGTTTTTTTACAAACTGATGCGATAATTTTAACATAACATTCGATTATTTTCGCCCCTTAAAAAAAAGACATAAAACATGAGCAACAAGGACCGAGCAACGGGTGGGATCGCGCAGGAGCAGGTCCTCTATTAATCTTTAGGTGTATTCACGCGAAACTGCAATTGATAGACATGCATCATACATTATGCAACAATTTATAATAAGTAACAAATGAACATGCGTTATCTCAATTTAGTAACCATTTTCAACCACTTTAGCGGATGTTGTTTTAATGTGGATTTCCTCCAACCTCCTTTTAAGTGAATTACATAACATCACACCTTTTATCCCCGAAGGGGTAGGTGCACATTATACCACTGTACAATGTAACACCCTCTGTTCACTATTTATGTTATGAGTCCCATATAATGGGAGTGAGCCTATTGCCATATACCAGGCACAATTCCAGACTCCGTGCTACTACTGAGATTTTTATTTTTAAATGGTATAATTATGGTAGTGTCCTAAACAGATAATTTTTCAATTTAGTCTTAAATTTATTTTTCTCTTCCCTGACTTGGTTTGGCAATTGACACGGCGGACCGCGATCTAGCTCACTTCGAGAGTTCGAATTGACTTCGTATTGACGTACATACGTGCACGTCACGCAGCAGAAATGTTACCCATGATTATGAGTCCCATTCGTCACTTGAAACTAGTCGAACAGTTTTAAACTGAAATCCGTAGGTATATTTTACTGAAATAATGACTTTCAAAATTGACGATTGACGCTATTTTCAGTGTTGGAAACAAATGGCGGAAATGTTTTTACTTATATCTATTACAGTTTCACAAGCCGCTGAAACGAAATTTTGGCAACTGAAAGTACTGAAACGAGTGCATTGTCTCTTAAAGAACTTATTGGCATTTTTTTAAATATAAATAGATAAAAGAATGTATGCCAGCAATTGTCTTCAAGACCAAATTGGCAGGTTGAAATGTTTATGATGTTTTTAGTGTCATTAGTTTTTTGTAGGCATGTCGATAGGTGATAAGTACGTTGTCAATATTAGCTACCTATTTATGTTTACTAACCCAATTGTTATGTCCTTAAAGCTACTAACAACTAAAAACTACCGCAAAGTTAAGTTCGACGGTTCATTAATTTTGCCGTCACCACTCGACACTGGCAGTATAGTCGACAACACCGTATAGGAGAGTAGGCCAAAGAAAAAAAAAGCTACCTATTGAAACCAAAAAGTCGTTGGTCTTGGCCGCATCATGGCTAACCATTGGGTGAGAATAGAAATTCAGTACTATAATTTCAAAAGCAATGACGGGACGATGGGGGCAAGCTCAGCCTGTAAGTGTAGATATCACAGGCTGAGAATCAAACAATAAAAAGGTTTGTTTGTAATTAAATAACCTGAAATAAGATATGTTGCACAATAGGACCCATTTAGTTTTTAGTCAATTCCGTGGTGCATGGCGACTGGGCTTCTCCCTGTTGTACAGTCTCTTTTTGTGCCTTAAGGCTTAATTCACTCTGTCTCCTGCAATAATTCACTGAGGGACGTAAAAACTATCGTTGTTTCCTTCTCATCTTATGATATCTCCCGATTCACTTCGTTCTAACCAAGACAGTTATTCATGTCCTGGGACGCGGCGGACTTGTGTTCCGGTGTTTTCATGGATGTGTCTATTGTAGATCCTGGCTTACAGGAGTTGTAGCGGTTTTGGGAGGTTGTGGTGGGCTTGTCCCAAAAAATAAGAAATGTTGCACAAGACAATTATATTTTTTTTGTTTTCAGCTGATGATAAACAGTTTTAAATAGTTTGTAAAATCTTCGATACTGAAACTATATCTATTTCAGTGTGGGAGAGCCATGTTTCGGCACTAATGGGCCGGCTCGACCGGAGTAATACCACGGCCTCACAGAAATCCGATGTGTGTGTCGTGTGAGTGAGGTTACCGGAGGGCTAAATACCCCTCTTCCCCAATCAACCCAATTCCCGAATCCCCAACAATCCTCAAATTCCTAATCCCCAAAAGGCCGGTAACGCACTTGTAATACCTCCGGTCTTCCGGGTGTCCTTGGGCGACGCCGATTGCTTACCATTAGGTGATCGGTCTGCTAGTTTATCGGCTTATCCCATAAAAATATAATATGTTCTAAGTTCTTATTTTACTGGTTCATTGACCGGCTTCACGTGAAATGGAGCGAGACTACTTAGCTAGACAAAATATAAATTTTACAATGCTGAATAGGTAAATACCTACATAGTTCGGCAAGGTTTAAGAAGCTCCTTTTACTATGGCAGACAGAACTTCATGTAACTACGGATAAAATATAATTCATTTGAGACCCTAAAATACGAATACTTACGTTATATCTTCATAATCTTAGCCTGTAGTACACCATCGACGTGAATGAACGTGATTAAAAATAAAAACAATGCTACCAAAAAGCAGTTTTAAACCCAATTTGTTAGGTAATTAAAAACAAACTTGATAACCTGATTGTTACTTTTAAATGACTTTGTTTTAATTCCTCCTTCATTGTGTTATTTCTTATGAAAATTGTACCAAGAGATACTTGAACTATGTCTTAGTAACGATCTTCATCATAAAATCACGCCTTTTATCCCCGAAGGAATAAGCAGAGGTGTGTACATCTGTTTACTTTTATTACCACACTTAGTACCACTGTGAAATGTAACGTCCACTTTACACTATTTAATATTTGCCATGAGTCATGAGCCTGGAGAGAGGTCACCACTGACCACTTAGATCTTGACCAGTTGACTCAGAGTAGGGCGGTAAGTATGGGAGTTTCATTAAAATAATAAGACGAATCCCAGGTCAATGATTTATTAGTTAAGTTAAAAGAAATAAGAAATTGACAAGCGCTAACTACATGTTTCCTAACTGCATTAGGCACTGGTTGCTTCAATATTTCAGTAAAACTGTAAGACACTGATTTTGTAAATATATCTTTTATATTTTACCTATTGTCTCTGCAGTTGCGTAAAGGTTAGTAATGGTTTAGGCTATAACACAAGAGAAACATTACAACAAAATGCTATAGATAGTATAAAGTCACTTTAGAGAAGATTCATCTAAATCTATCAAGCAATTTAGGAGTAATGAGCTGACAATTATTAACACACAATCGAAACAACAAAACTATGTAACTAGAGAATTGTATTGTAAACCCGATTGAAAAATAGTAACCTATGGAGTTTCAAGCTTCACTTCTAAATTTTTGTTGTTGACATTCAAATTGCCTATATAATAAAGATTTGTTTGCCAACTTTGACAAACAAATCTTTTACGTGTTAAGGTAAAGATGTTTTGAAATTACTTGTGTTGTAGTCTAAACGAGAAAGCAGATTGATCGATTATCCCATATTGGATTGTGCAGATACATTAATAAGCAACAAGTAAAAACGAGAGAATTCCACCCGCGTCCAGAGATCAAAAGAAATAAAAAAGCATAGGAAAACAGCAAAAATATTGTAGAAATAATATATTTTGAATATAAACTCTACTCGAAACAAAGTCATCAAGTTCACAAAATATTGAAAAGTACTGAAGAACTTGTACAAATCAAGCCTACGCTTGAACAGGGCACGGATTCGCATCCTCTCGTGTAGATACATAGTAAATACGCCCTTATCCCGTACAACATAAGGATTACATTAGCGCTATACACTGGCGCTTTAAAACAATAATATCCGTAACTTATACATGTGATAAGAGTTCAGCAGTTGTAAAAAGGTGACAAATGAACCAGCATTTTAGAGGAAAATGTAACTTAATATGTTACGTTTTAGTGTCAAAATACCTTTTGGTAAGTGATGTTTTTGTAAAAGTACCCAATTTCTTATGAAATGTTTAATGCTAATATTAAACTGTCAAACACCAAGCGGTCACCGGTGACCGCGACCTATCGTTCTTTAATTGTGTCTATAAAACCGGTACTCGACGAGTTAATTAGAGTGAAAGTAATTTGTTTTGCCTTCAGCGAGAGAATAATAAGTACAAGTATAGCATGTATTGCATATATCTATAATAGATAGACGTGTTTGTTATACTATTTATAACTCAAGAACGGCTAAATCTATTTGGCTGGAATTGGTGGAGAGCTAGTTAAGAACCAAGAGACGGAGATAGAATTATTTATCCGGAAAAAACAGGTTTACGCGTAAGTCGCGGGCAGAAGGTAGTTGTATGTGAAATACATGTTTCATAATATAGATAGCTAGCACAATAAGGTCTAAACTTTTAAAAATTGGGTTTACAAAGAAATGACTGCTGAACTCGAGACAAATTAGAACGTAATACATAATTACAGTAGAATATATATTGTTAGTATTGGGGCTGTGTGTCGTATTAACGCCTGGAGTTGACCGTCTGCCAGTCATCACCGTCTGGGTCGCGAGCTGCAAACAAAAAGGTTTGGTTGTGAACATCGGAAGGTAATTTTTTATTGTATTGGGGGAAAGAAGAAGACTACACAGGTAAAACTGTCACCTGTGAAGTATTGGAACGTAGATCTATGCGAGACTTGATGTGCTTTCGAACATAACATAACATCACGACTTTTTATCCCCGAAGGGGATAAAAAATGGCGCACATTATACCACTGTACAATGTAAAACCCACTATTTACTATTTATGTTATGAGTCCCATGTAATAGGGGGTGAGCCTATTGCCATATACCGGGCACAATTCCAGACTCCGTGCTACTACTGAGAATTTTTGAATTTTTTATAATAAACCCAGTAATACTTTGCCCGACCCGGGAATCGTACCCAAGACCCCCTACCCGGCAGTCGCACTTGCAACTAGTCGGCCAACGAGGCAGTGTTTATTTTATATGTGTTTTCTATTGTGTCTGATATATCGAGTGACAAGAGGTTAAATGTGTTTCCTTAATGAATGGTAAAGATATCATATTCTGTAATTGTTGCCATAATTCCCATATCCTACTATTTTTATTTAATCTGTAATATACATAAGTTGCTTCTAAGTGTAACAAACACTTTTCTGAAAAAACAAAATCGTTTCAGTCAATCGAGAGATAATCGCGGACCAAAATACATACATAGCGATCAAACTAAGATACTCCTTCATTTGCTTGAAGTAGTTTAAACATGATTGTCAACTATCTTATAGACAGATTATATTAATATATAATATGATTCATTTTAGATTAACAGTTCCTTTTCTTATGCCCTCTTTAGCTAGCATGACAGAATTATTGTTTGATCACAGCTAACTTCGGATTCGGAACGCTTTCAAAAAACGAACACAGGCGATGATAAAAAAGAGTTTCATTTTCACAAAAATACTAAATTAAATGTTTCTTCTATGTAATAATAGTGTATTCAACTGCTTAAGGCTGATTATGAATAACACGAAAACAAAAACGATTAAAAGTGTAATAATATTTTATCTGCGCTTTCGGAAGCGTTCCTTTTACACCCTGTATTTAGTACTTACGTTTTTCCTCACGTCGTGGTGGCGCGCGGCGCGGTCCGTCGCGGTCACGGTCGTCCCGGCGCGGTCCGTCGCGGTCTCTGTCGTCACGCCTTGGTCCGTCCCGGTCACGCTCGTCACGGCGCGGTCCGTCCCTGTCACGGTCATCACGACGCGGTCCATCTCGGTCATCACGGCGTGGTCCGTCACTGTGATAGAGTTTAATAAATGTAATGGGTAGGGGTTCGCCGTTTGACCACTATTTTTTATTTTTTTATTTATTTAACTTTATGCAACAAAAGTACATAGGCGGGCTTAATGCCATGGGCATTCTTACTAGCCAACCTTTAGGTGATACAGTGAGAGCGTCGTCGGTGCAATAAGTTGACAACTAGTATCTAATATAATTTTTAAACTATCTTGCCTGACGGTAAGCAATGGTGCGACCTACGATGGAGCCTGCTCATAAGCAAGCTATTCCACTCGAGTTTAAGACACCCAGGTTGTAACTACGTTACTGAAATATAGACACTGGCAAAGTGTTCCATTTCTTTGCTGTTCGCATAAGAAAACTTGAAGCAAAACGCTTTGTTTGATTGCGTAGAACAATGTGATAAAATGGTCAGGGAGGAATTAAATTCAAATTCATTTATTAATTGTAGATCACAGGTTAAGTTAATTAAGCAATTCTCCCGCACACTCTCTTCTTTAGCTTTATTTAGCTTGCCCCATTTGTATGTTTGTTTGAGTCAAACCAATCAGCCGACCGTAGCCGTAAATAAGTGAAAAATAAAATACAATCACAACTTACCGGTCATCCCTCCTAGCTGGGAAGCGGTCGCGATCACGATCACGGAACCCGCCGCCATCGCGGTCACGGTCGCGGTCGCGCGGTGCGTCGCGGTAACGATCGTCTCGTGGCGGACCGTCCTTAGAACGCCAGGTCGATGAGCGTTCCTGTTCACAAGTAACAATTTTATAAGACTATTTGAAGTATTACAAATATCGTCATCATCATCAGCCAGAAGATGTCCTTCACATCACACATCAGAGCTTTAATTCATTGATATATCAATCTCTAAATTTGTTCATATAAAGGTAGTCTCTAAACATCGGAAATAAGGTCTATAATGGATTTAGTGAAGAGCGGTCATTGGTGACCGCTTGAGGATTGAACTGTTAACTGCTGAGTAATGTCCTCTTCGAAAGGGTTTAGAGGTTCATCAAATACTAATTTGATTTTACAAAGTACAATCATCAGAATTATTTGAGGTGAGCATGATTCAAATCCTGTTTGTAGTCGTTGATACTTACAGAAGGTGCTGGTGGTGGGTCTGCAGGTCCACGTCTCCAGCTGCCACTCTCCGGACCACTGGAGCGACCGCCATAACGAGGCCTAGCGGTAGAGAGAAACAAATTTAGTATTATTGTATTACTGCATTTTTATATGCTTTGAACCTTTCCCTATGGTCTTAGGCAAATGGAGTCTAACAAAATAGAAAAGTTAATGAATTAATAAAACAGTCTTTGTATCACAAGCTATTTTAAAATTTTGAATATAATTCCACTTGTTCTATGAATCACAAAACAATAGGTATGTTGTTAATAAAAAAAGAATTGGTTTAAAAGTACAATCCTGAAATGTTCATGTTTTAAAACATGTGTGTAATCACAGTAATTACTAGTAATTGAGTACTGACCTGTCCCTCTCTGGTTCTCTGTTGGCAGACCTCCACGCGCCCTCGTCTCTGGGTCGCTCGTCCCTGGGCCTGTCGTCCCTCGGGCCGCGCTCCTCGCGAGCCGGACGATCGTCACGTGGCCTTTCGTCACGTCTACAATAAGAAACGAATATTATTCGTATCTGGAGGCCTACTCCGGTTCTCGAATCCGAAGTTTCGTTAACGAACGAAATTTAAACGAAGCTTCGTTTGTGACCCTACTCTGTTTCATTTTCGCCCGCAAACGACAATTTCGGATCCATAGACAATATTCGTGAACGAATGGAATGAACGAAGTCATAGTAGTTCGTTCATAGACTTTTGCGGTAAATAATCGGTTTTTATTATAAATTAAAATTAATTGAAATAATAATATATTTTAAAGCATATTATTACGTTCTTTTAAAATACATGGTTTATAGACTGTTTATAGTCACATAAATACAAATAAGTTGATAATAAAAGTTCGTGATGAAAACCATAGACTCAAAACAATCCTTTCAATGACATTTCCTTCCAATTTCATTACGCGCGTTTTTTGAGTTTTTGCTTCACTCATATTATTTTCGAAGTTATTATTGAAAAAAAGTGTAAGTAAGTACTGTTTTTTGTAGCTTTTCGTATTTAAAATTCTTGCAATTTGTATTTATTTTATAGTCATTGGTTTCTATAACTTGTTTCTATCTTATAATTTAAGTTTAAAATGGCTCCATGGACGGGTTCAGCAACTCCAGAACAAATTGACACGCTCCTCAACTTTCTGGATGAGCATCGCGACCTAGCACGCGGACGTCTGCGAAGTGTAGAAGGCAAGCTCCAAGCGAAGCGGCTCTGGGACGAGGTGTGCAACCTCCTAAATGCCATGGGTGGTTGCACAAAGACAGTCACGCAGTGGCAAAAAGTACGTATTTTATTTACGACTACTATTTATTGAAAATGACAAAAAATGTTACCTAACATATTTTTATTCCTTATAGGTTTGGTTTGACAGAAAACATTTGGCCAAAAAAGCTGCTGCTGACTCCCGGAGGTCGGCTACAATGACTGGAGGTGGACCGGCGGTGACAACCCCACTCTCCAATTGGGAATTAAAAGTCCTAAGTATAATGGGAGATGGGTTTGGTCTCCGCCAGACGGAAGCTAGAGTTCCGGCTTTCCCCGAAGTAAGTACCTATATTCGTTTGTATATGTAGGTATCTTTTCAGGGAATGAAAGATGTGATGTTATGTTATTTCTTTCAAAATAAATTGTTAAATACTTCCATATTTCCAGATTTAGTGATACTAATGGTAGGTACCTAATAAAAATAATCTTTCAATTTACCTAGGCATATGAACTTGCTCCGTCTACCTCCAGTCAACCGCCACGCTTGGAGTTGCCGCTAGGTGCCATCCCGAGAGTTGAGTGTTCGAGTGCTGAACCGACGAACGAACATGACGTGATTTCCATGTAAGTAACTATCCAATCGAGAAAGAACGCTATAAATAATATACTTACTATCATGCATTTTTCCCCGATGGACTAGGTAGAGGTACGTATACCCTATACCATTGTATGTTGCATAATTAACACATTGGGTGTTAGAAATGAAAAAATAATAATACCTATTGTTATATTAAGAAATTGATAATGTCGGAGGAACATACTTATTAATTTTAACGTTTTTTCAGCCTCGCAATCGTCACGTCTTCGTCCTCGAAGGATGCGGTCTGCTGCTGGCTCTGACGTCAGACGCAGACTTTTCGAGTACGAGGACAGACGTGAACAAAGAGAAACGGCGAGGAATCAAGAACTCGCCGGCATAAGGGCTGCCATGGAAGAAATGTGTGGGATACAAAGACAAATATTAGATTACTTAGTTAAACTATCGGAAAAACCATAAATTTTAAATTCTATTCACCTAAGTATCTCCCACATTTCACCAGTTATGTTATTACCTACCCTATGCGAATTTGTAAAAATCGAAAACCCACTAAGTAGTAAAAATGCTACGCAACGTGTTAATTTAATTCGGCTCCATTGGACAATACTCAAAATTAGTACCTAACTAATCAAATTGCAAAATCAAGTTAATACTTTAGTTCTGAAGTAATTTAGATATCTTATGGCACAAGCAAATTTTCGTTATTTGGAGGATTTTTAAGCTACAAGCTTATTTTTACAAAAACATTGTTTCACATTTTATATATATATGCACATGTGTGTGCACCACTGCACCATGTTAGAAACGATTGTTTAAAATTATTTCTCTGTCAAATAAATTGGTCTGTTTTAATTTTATACTGTCTGTATGCTGTTATTGTACTTACGCATATAATTATGAATATTGGATTAAATAATACATAAATATATCAGTGAAATGTCTATCTGATGGACAACTTATTTCTCTGTTTTTATAAAACTTTTATTCTATTTACATGCAAAAAGCTTGTAACATTTAATATTTTTATAAGTTATTAGTAATAAATCCATTAACTTAGACTTGTTGTTTGTTTTTTCCCCATACTATTATTATATTCAATATGCACTTAAAACTGAAAACTAATTCAGGGTTAAATAAAACAAGATAAAAGATATATTCCATATAATAAAATTGTAAAAATAAGGGTATAAATAAAAATAATGTTGACATTGTTGTCTTCATGTGTTATCTAAAACAAAACAATAAATTGATTAGACAAATTGATTGATTTTCTTTCTTACACCATTGTGTGATATGAAATATGTAAGTGCAACTCACCGGTGTCTTTCCAATGTTTGGATTAAGGTCAGCCTCGCTCTTCGACCAGCCTGTAACGCTTGGCTGGTCGAAGTTGGTGCTGCCTGGGATGCCACCTGTCGTGTCCTCTCAGAGTCGATGTCATCTTGTAACAACTCGGGAGCTTCAATACCAGCCCGAACACAAATATTGTGTAAAACACAACACGCCAATATTATTTGACCTGCGGTGGCTGGGCAGTAATGAAGTTCCCGAGCTGATAAAAGACATCGCCACCGACCTTTGAGGACTCCAAATGTACGTTCTATGGTGGAGCGTGCACGTTTTTGGATGGAATTATACCTTCCCCTGGAGAGTCCTCGATGGCATTATCCACTGGGGTCATCATATACTCCCGCAGAGCATAACCAGAATCACCTGAAAACAATAACATGTTAATGGAAATTGTATGAATATGATACACATTATTACATACATAGTAGGTAATGACAAATGAACATACCCAGTAGATAGGACGTCTCGCTTTGAAGACTTTCCAGGTGGAAGCGAATTTCAGATTCCCTCCAAATATAGGCATCATGTGTTGCTCCACCATATCCCGCATCCACATTGGTGATCAATAAATCACTATCACATATCTAAAAAATAATGAAATCAATGTAAGACTAATCATGGTCTTAAAAGTACTTGTAAATTGAGGCATTTAGTAGTAAAATTAATAGAAATTTTGTTAACACTTACAACTTGTGTGTTGATTGAATGATAATGCTTTCTATTGAAGAATTGTTCTTCATGCTCAACGGGTCTCACGATGGCAACATGCGTGCAATCAATGCACCCAATTACTCCAGGAATCCCATACTTCTCATAGAATCTACAATAATACAATGTTATAGTTATAATAAATGAAATAATAATTTATAATCCAACCTGCTATTCATTTTTGTAATAATAACAAAAGTAGGACAGGATTTTAAGGTGACCGGTATTAAATGACAGATAATTTAACAATCTTTCCCATTTTTATCACAACACAATAAGACAACAGCCTCTATCAACTGTTAGCTGCGTGATCTCTTGAACCATTTCACCATATAACTCACAAGCCCGCGCCATGGGAAGCGAGTATGTTTGAGCGGTTTTTTCTTAATTGTGTAGAACATAGGTATTTAAAACTGTCCGTCACCAAGCGAGTAAAATAAACAAGAACTTTAAATTAGGTATAGTAATACTCCCTGTGGGTATGGAAAATAAGGTCCTTATTTGATTTCGAAGTAGACGCGACGTGACCAATGCCAAAAAAATTGATGTTTTAATGATATTGTTCAACTTGTTGCTGATGGATAGTAGCGGCTTTGTCGAGCCAAGGATTTGCAATGTCGTTGAATGAAAAAGAGATCGAGGTGATAAATATGGTCATTATAAGAAGAAATCTACAATTCTACAAAACTTGCACAGTAGTACACAATAACGACATCACAGAACTGTCAAATAGAAAGTAAAATCCATTTCACTTGTGCGGAAACATATTACTTACTTGGTTAATTTATTTAGTTGTGTTTATTTTTTCGACTAATATGAATTATACAATGGCTAAAAAAGAATGATGAAATATGAAGCACAATAATTAATCAAACGCAACGTTGAGTCAAATCTATCATCGACTAATTATGCGTAAATTGGAATATAGCTGTAGGTTGGTGGAAACACGTTCAAAACATAATTTCTTACAATTAAAACTGAGATTTTCATTTCTATACATTAGCAGGAGAAAAATAGGCACTGTCCTTATTTTCTGACTGTGTTCAAGTTATAATCCTAAAGATCATAGATAAAACCTTTATGTAAGATTATGATTATGCACGCTGGGTTTGGTCAACGTTTTTATCTTTACGTAATTCTACATTTCATGACTACTTCATTACTACTTCATTCGCGGGCTTGAGAGATGCATTACACGGTAGAGGGGTCACGCATAACGCAGGCTTGCGAGGTCACGTGACTAGCCACTGATAAAGACGCGCACCGGCACGCGCGAATTTCAAACGATTGTGATAAAATTGAGATAGTTGTTTGTTATCATGCTTAAAAGTTATATAATAATAGGTACCTCTGCTTAACAGACATCCTATCGCTTGGGGTTTGCGGGAATTTTATGTTTTCCTGAGGATATTGGGTGCATTGAGTGCCGATGTTACTTCACGCAAGCATCGTGAGACGGTTTGTTGGGCCATGGGTGCGTCCATATTCTGACCCACAGAGCCTTGGTAGCTGCCGCGGGCAAAAAACTGCAACGCAGTCATTATCTAAAAAAGTTAACAGGTTAACATTGAAACAGTAGAACTATAGTAGGTATTTAGTACGTATTTAATCAAAGTCAACAATTTACAAATAGGCTGTAGTTAGGTACTTACTTTGTGGGTGGGTTCGATCCCATGTTTTCTCACCTTCGGAGGGAGTTTGGGAATTATGTCCTGGCACAATTGTTCGAACAATTCCCGACTTAGTCTGTAATTTCTTACAAATTCTAAGTCGGGAATATGTTCGACATCCAGTTGGAGCCGGAGACGACGACGGTTTCTTTGCCGCTCTGTGCGTTCTTCCCGCAATGCAGCTTCAACAAGAAAATGTCTCGCAGCCATAATACGACTATTATTATATTGTTATTATAATAACGCCTCGAAGAAGCACCTAATACTATGAACGCGCGTAGTTGATTTATTAATTGCCGCCAAAGAGTGACGCTGACGACGTCAAACATTGCCATTTTAAAATAATAATTAACAAGAGAGCTTCAACACTTTTAATTTTATGTAGTAATAGTTAAAATTGATATCTAGAATTATCAAAAAATAATGTTTAAATACACAACAAGAGTTATTATGTGGCAAACGAAAATTAAACGACAACTATTTTGGTTTCGTCAAAATGACATTTAGTATCCGAACAATAATCTGTCAAATTCGAATTTTCGTTCGTTCGTAAAATGAATTAGAGTAGGGTTTAACGTCAAAATGCCTTAAAGTTCGTTCGTTCGGACGAAGTTTCGCAAGAAAGAGAACCGTAGTAGGAAACTTGCGAAATTTCGAACGAAACTTCGTTTTTCGTCGAATCAGAGTAGACCTCCTGATGTTTTTTGAAGGCAGCTATATATACCTACTGAAGGTGTGCTAGCAAGATAATATTTAAAAAGTAAGTAGTAACTATTAGCTGCTTGTGGAGATATATCGAGAACAAATTTTTCCTTGTGAAATTATTTTTTTATTTATCAACTCTTTAATGCACACAAAAATAAGGTACATAAGGCGGAATCAATGCTATAACAACATTTTCTCCCAGTAAACCTTTGGGTTAAGTAGAGAATCAACGAAAATTATCTCATGTTCTAAAACTGAATACATATTGCTACTGTAATTTTCTTGCACATATCAACATTTACATTTTTTGTTGTATTTATTAAGTATTATTAAAATGTGCCATACAAAAATCTTCTTCCCATACACATCATACTCAAATCCAGAAAGAATATTTAACAATGAACAAATACAATGTAAAAATATTATAATTCTCACCTGTCCTCTCTAAGCGGTGGTCTATCCTCCCTGACGGGTCTCTCGTCCCTGGCGGGTCTGTCGTCGCGCGGCGCTCTACGCTCTGGAGTGCGAGGACGGTCTTCGCGGACTGCCGCCGGCTCACGGGCTGCACGACCTGGGACAAAACACGGGTCAATTAGTTCTTTTAGGGCATTCAAATACTGTAGGATTAAGTCTTTTATGCCCCAATCTTCAAATATAATCCCCCAAAAGGCAACGCACTTGTAACTCTTGTATGGATGTCCAAGGACAGCGTCGATTGCTTACTATCAGGTGATCTGTCTGATCGTTTGATTCCGTATACGTAGGATTTTGTCTTATTTCTTGAGCGAGACGCAATTCTAGACATGTCTAAGAACATACCCTTTTTAACACAAATCGACAAAATCCCTCGCAAAAGACGCATCATCATAACTCTACATGACATAACATCACGCCTTTTTATCCCCGAAGGGGTAGGCAGAGGTGCTCATTGCCACATTTGCCACAGTGCAATGTAACATCCACTTTTCACTATTTATGTTATGAGTCTCGTGTAATAGGGGGTGAGTACCTAACTCTGTAAATCAAAATACTCACTGGATCGCCAAGTATCCCCGGGTGTAGGTTTCTTTTCATCCTTGGCCTCAGCCTTCGCCCTCCACCCGTCGTCCCTGGCGGGCGCAGGTCGGGCGGAGCCCCCGTCTCTCCAGCTTGAACTAGCCTGTGCCTTCTGTTCCTCCAACTTGCGTTGTATCTCTGCTTCTTTCGCCCTGATCTTAGCTTCAGTACGTGCCAACATTTCTTGGTGTTCCCTGTAGGTAAAAATTGATTTAATTAGTGTGATTTGATTTGTAATAATAGTAAACTGTATTACTAAAAGTAAGATTACTTATATCTAATTTTAAGTTAATTTAACAACTAGAGGTCCAAGGTCCGTTAATCATCAGTTAAATCAACTGTACAATAAAATTGAAATTTGTCAATTTTAGTACGAAAGAATGGTCAAATATTCAAAATTCCGAAGTAAAATGTATCTGGAGTTGGAAAATTCGGCCCTAATTAGAATTTCATTGCTATAGGTTTTTATTAAGTTTACAAGAGAAGTTTATGTCTCGTGTTTCGATGTGCCTTAGGAAAAGGCCTCTTTCAACTGCTTCAACAACTTGTCTGATCACACTGATCACCACTCGCTTTGCACTCTATACACCAAACAATAAAGTTACAACTTACCTATCCTCTTTCTCCTTCCTCTCCCTAGCTGCGGCGAGTTCCTCAGCATGTTTCTTCTCCCTCTCCTCCCTCTCTTTGCGTTCCTCCTCCTCCTTGATACGCTTCGCTTCCTCAGCAGCGCGTTCTTCTGCGCGACGCTTCTCTGCGAGCCACTGTGTAAGAGATACATGGATTAGTAAAATGTATATCAAGTTTTAATCACTTGATATATCGTATCGAAAATCCCCAAAATATTTTTTTATACAAAAGTAGTCTGCAAACATCAGAACAAAGGTCTATAATGGAGTCGGTGGAGAGCGGTCATTGGGGATTGATCAATTTGTGTAGAGAGCAATGCTTAGTACGGATGGACTGACTAACAGAAAACTAAACTGCGGAAGTTTATGACGACGATTGTTTAGTATACGGTAATTTGAATCCCCCCCCCCCCCCCAACACAAATGATAGAATACACTGATTCAGTCTTTAACGACATGTCTGTAAAGAAATTGTCATGTTTGTATTGAGTCCCGTTTGAGTTGAGAATTATTCTTTTCAAGCGATTTAAAAAAAAAGGAGGACTTTTTCAATTCGACTGTATTTTTTTAAGAACCTTTCTAACCACAAACGTGCAGACAAGTCTCCTGATGGAATACAATCGGCGTCGCCCATGGACTACTAGTTATTACTATTTTTATACCAAGAAGACAGTAGTGAATACAGACCTCCTGCCTCCTCTTCTCAATCCGCTGCAGCCTCCGTTCCGCGAGTCGTTTCTCCCGCTCGGCCTGCAGCTTGTCCTTGAAGGCGGCCAGGCGCTGCGTGTGCGCGGCGCCGCGCTCGCTGCGCAGCTTCACCGTGAACTGCTCGCGGTGCACAGACATGCGGGACAGGCGGCTCGCCGTCGTCACGTCGCGGGCGCGGGCCTCTGCGGACAAACATTATTACAGGTTAATATCTGTGTTAAATGACACTTTGTTATCATATCACACATTAACAAGTGCCCATTGCTGAGCAAACGCTTGTTCTCACACTATATTGCTGCTGCTCATGAGGAAGAACTTCTCTGTGGTTCGAAACTAGTGGAGCTTTTTATTTACACGTGAGTAACCCGCGATTTGAGTTAATTTAAACAGTAATGTTAATAATAATGAAAATCAAATCTCTCTTTTCCTAATCTTATATAAATAAACTAGCCTTTTTAGGACATCAACATAAATTACGCTCTATGCCTTAAATCTACAGAATTTACGTACAACAAATTATCCACGGAAAGGACAAAATGTGTATTATAATTTTATACAATCTGCCAAAACCGTGTACATTTAAAATGTAATCTGCACAATAGAGTGCATTTCACGATAGTTTCCATAAAAACAGTATAATACAAAGAGATATGAGTTATTGTTCACTCACCAATAAGTTGTTGTATGCGCTCTTTTTCCTGGGTCTCCCAGAATGCCTTGTCCTGCACCTGCTTCTCTTCCAAGCTCTTCTGCAGCAGGGGAATCTCCTCCAAGCGTTTAGCACGCTCAAAGTAATCCACCTATTGATAAAACAACCCAGTTAATGACTTGCATAGTAAGTTACCAGTTACCATATTTGCTATTTGATGGTGATGAGATAGAGATGCTTGAGTGAAGATGGAGTTTCTTGCTCGTTTTCACAGATGGAGCTTCACTGACAGACAGACATATGGACAATTTGGATGTTTCAAAAGTGCCTAATTTAGGATTAATTGAAATAAATGCTTTGACTTTGATAAGTGTCATCTTTTTACTTTAATTATTTTTATGCCTTTCCTGCCACATAGATTTTTGTTTAGTGTAGGTATTTACCTTCTTCTCCTGCGACTTAAGTCTGGCCTGCAGTTCACGGCGCTCCTTCATTAACTCCTCAGCTTCACGAGCAGCGATGGCTTCAGCGTCCATCTTTTTGAGTTCCTATTTAATAAAAGGTAGACATTTTATTAACCACTGTAACATATTTTTTTAAAAGAGTAAGTCTTTTTAAAAAAAACGTAGCTACACATTTGGATATTCTCCTGTGTCGTGGGTGCGATGACAAAAGATACAAGTTTACACATGACACCGAGATCTGAAAGAATAATTTGTGGATCACACAGAATTGTTCTGTGCGAGAATCGAACCCGCTACACGTTGCGCGGCATCCGGTGACCCAGTCACCGCGACAACCGTGCAGTTTTCTTGATGATTTATTTCCTTCTCGTCCCTAACACCACATTTTATTTGTAGAAACACAAAACCTCTTTTTGAGCATAGGGCTATTACTTTTGTGATTTGTTCGCAAACAGTTTAATAATAAATAGAATCAATTCCAAAATATATGTCAACAACTAACAGTAACTAAATAAATAAATTAATTGTTTGTCAGAATCCACATACTCTTGAATTTACAGCGCAGATTGTAGAGTACTTTTACCTCATTCTGCAGTTCACACTGTACACTGTAGAACAATTTCACTACTTTCTATGAAATTCTGTGTAGTGTACACATAAAGAACATACCTCCTCATTAATATTCGACAGCATCTTCTGTCCGTGCGCAGTCTGGCTGATGTGAGCGACCCTCTCCCTGAGATGTCGCTCCCTCATGGCGGCCAGCTCGGACTCGTGCCGCCTCCGCTCGCGCTCCTCGCGCTCGGCTTCCAAGCGACGAGCCTCCGCGGCCGCCGCAGCACGAGACACCTCCTCTTGACGTCTAAGGAGGTTGGTTTTATTAGTGGTTGGATTTTATTTGAGCTGTGTTTTGAGTAGAATGATGTGAAGGATATATTAATTTGTTTGATGTAATTTAGACCTTAGTAAATAGTTTTTTTTTTATTTAATGTAAACTTTGTGCATGAAGCATTTCATGCACAAAGTTTACATAGGTGGACTTAGTAGGCGTATTTTGTCATTGATGAAGTACTAACTATTGTTTAAGTTTAAAATTTGCTTCAAAATGCTATCTATATATATGCTATGCTATTCATAATCTATCAGTGAATTAACAGTGAATTATAATAGATCAGATAATAAAGTTGGTCTTTAGTTCACACACTCAGACTTGATCCAAAAATATAGGATTCACATACGCGTTATCCTTTGCTGGAATTAAACCTGACATTGATGCGCATTTTTACCAATTTCTCTAAAATTGTACAGGTAAGGGGTCAGTTTAAGTGCTCCCTCACAATAAGTAACTTTTGATTAAGACATGGTTTAGGAGAAGTTTGTAAAAACGACCATTGTTCACTTATTCATCATCACTTTTCACCAATAAATAAGTTCCAAAGGCCTACCTGAGTTCCTCCTCCTCCCGGACAGTGTTGAGTCTCTCGATGTACTCCTTCCTCTCCTCGATGATCTTGTGCCGCTGCAGCACGCGGTGGTGCTCCGCGTGCTTGTGTTCGTGGTAGTGTTGCACCATGTGCGCGCGCGCGCGGGCTCGCTCGGCGCGCCGCCGCGACGGGAACAACGTCGCCGCCGCGCGGGACAGCACCTCCGCCGCGCGGACTAGTTGCTCGCGGACCTGCACCGGACCATCGAGGTTAGGCATTTAAGTTTCGTAAAATACAACTATGAAGTAGGTCCTATCATAGCCTCTTGTTTGTTGCGGCCATAATGTGTTTTATACCGGGAGCCGGTGTTTCAACAGATAAGAGGATAGTATGTATAAACATTTAAAGAAATATAGGTACTTTAACAATTATTTATAGGTGCAAATAAATAATTGGTATTTTACTATGTTCATATTCTCTTATGGTTTTAAAGTTTTGGACTGATTTTGAAATTATTTATCATCAATTTTATTTCAGTTAGTTCAGGTAAGCTGTTTTCCCCGGTACTTCTAAAAAATCAAGATTTTCACGAAAGTTCGAAAAAGATAAGCAACAGCTCATTTTTGCCTTATTTTGCTGAACATAATCAGTTTACCGACCTGTTCAGCCGGAGTGGCTTGCAGTATGGCGCCGCCGCAAGCTTCGTCCGCGGCCGAGCACCACTCGCCGCCACCAGCCTCGACACCAAAGTGCACACACCTAGAAAACAGTCATTAAATCAGTCAGTTAATCATACTTCATACTAAAAGTACGAAACTTTGTAAAAAATCCATTATTCTGTCATGTAAAAATTTCTATTGTGCCGTCTTCAATTAACACAGAGTGCGCATGTGTCGCCCCCTGTCGCGTCAAGCCGAGCGAATGATGTACCTCCGAGGCCTACCACAACTTACTACTGATAAGTTAGTTATGGGATTTATTTCGGAGGTAATTAACAATAAGGAACTGACTTCTGACAGAACTTCAATTCAACATTCTAATCTCTGATAAAAATTCTCAATGTTATAAGTCGATTTGTGAAAGAGTACAAGTCTATTACAACACTGTGCTAACCTATATTCAAAGCTACAAAACTGAAATATGTGAGCAAGGGAAAATCCCGATAACACTTTCACTTGAGATATGAAGCTAAGACTGCAATGAAATAAAATAAAAAACCACAATACATACTTGTTAGCATGATCAACACGGATCTGCATATCATTATGCCTGACACAGTCGACCAGGAGACGTTCCAGATGGAACAGGTCATCCGTGTTGGCCAGTTCCAGGAGACGGGAGAACTGGATACAAGCATAGCATTGTCCCACTTGACGGATGAGCCGAACCAGGGCTACATCACTTAGTGCAACGGTGTACTGAGCCAGCGGTGAGTCTGAAAATAAGGGATATTGTTAGATTTTTTTATTTTTGAGGGGAAAATCATCCAATGACATAAACCGCCCGGGTGAGGCGAAAGGGAGTGGCAAACTCTCTACTGACTAAAAACCACCCCGTTTCTAGTCTTGCACTTCGAGCCAGAGCCCGGCAACCCATTAAGTACTTCGCGACTCCATATCGGGTATCAGCCATACTATCTGTAGTGGTCTGATGATTCCTTGAAGCTTGCACGAAACGCGAAGCGCCGGATATTGTTAGATAGGTTTATTTCTCTAGTAGATTAGGTTTAGTTTAGGATTAAAACAGGAGTGTATAGTCTAAGATATTTAAGTCTTTTGTCTGTCCACAGAAAAGTGGTATTGTGAGGATTTTCTTTACCAAAATGAAGTGTCAATCTTCGAATAATCAAATGAGAAATGCCAACCATAACTGTCTAATGAGTTTTTTAAACAAATATCTAGTTGTACAATAGTAATATTTTAATAATTTGTGCCGTCTTCAATTAACACAGAGTGCGCATGTGTCGCCCCCTGTCGCGTCAAGTCGAGCGAATGATGTACCTCCGAGGCCTACCACAACTTACTACTGATAAGTTAGTTATGGGATTTATTTCGGAGGAAAACAGAACCCTTTTTGAAATAGTATCAATGTTATAGGATTTTTGAAGAATATAGCCAGACTCAATAACATTTCAATCAGTAGATTCATTGGTAATTAAAATTAAAACTTTGAAACTGGTAATAATATTAACACTAATGTATACTATGTTTTAGGCAAATAAATGATTTACTTAGGTACTTAACTTACTAACTTCATTAAAAATATACCACTTTTTATGTAAATACAGATAAACAACATGTTTTATTACATACATCCAAAAATGTACACCCAAATTATAACTTAACACTGAAACTGGTATCATTCATGCCAATTTTACTTACTAGGCTCCTCCTCGAGGGACTTGACGACACTCTTGACGTTGTTGCAGAGTGTCAGTGGATCAAACTCAACCTCCAACCACGAGTACAACTGCTGCAGCTGAGGAGTCGCCAGCGCCACCACGTTCAGACGGACCACGTCTAAACAAACAGAAAATAGATTAAGCGTTTGGTTCACCAGTTTAGTATAAGCACCCGATAAATTTAACTGACAGATAGTTCACACAAATTACGTTCTTAATTCTCTATCTGGTACATAGCGGGTATTCGGACATTGTGTATTAGGCTCTAAATATATAATATAAAATGAAATTTATGAACAGTAATAGCAACCACACCTGGGTACAATTTGTTGATGTCCCCAGTGATTTAGTGGAATTTTCCTCTCTTACAAACCATGTCCTAACATTAAAAAATACGTCAAAAAACTAATTATATCCATTTTGGTCGAGTGGTTCCTGAATTTATGCACCCAAATATAAACTTCAACTTCAATGACTCATTGTTTTATTTATATTTTGAACTAGATGTTGCCCGCGACTTCGTCCGCGTAGAATATGATTCCTGTTTTATCCCATGGGAGAATTTAATCGGGAAAAAAGTATCCTAACATCCTAAGTCAGCCATACCCTACTTGTATAATCAAAATCCATTCAATAGTTTCAGCGTGATTGACGGACAAAAATCCATACGTAGATACATTCACATTTATAATATCAGCGTAGTGTGAAATGGCCTAAGTTTCAAATGGTATAGTTGTATTTTAGTGATGTATGATTTTCACATTACATTTTTTAATCAAATGTTTGTGCCGTCTTCAATTAACACAGAGTGCGCATGTGACGCCCCCTGTCGCGTCAAGTCGAGCGTATGATGTACCTCCGAGGCCTACCACAGCTTACTACTGGATAGTTAGCTGTGGGATTTATTTCGGAGGAAATTTCTTACCAATATAATTGCACTGATTTAACAAAGCTTTTCGTGTAAAAACGGTTAAGTCCGACTAACATTATAAATGTACAAGTAAGGTGTTTGCAACCTCTTTCCACTTTAATTGCTCAACCAATATCCATAAAATTTCGCATACAATTGGGTACATTTCTTAATAAAAAATAAATTATTTTCACTGTTCAATCCAAAAAATATTATAACATAATATCATCAACTTAATTTTAGTATTTTTCCAGCATTACATTTTTAAGTTTGACCTTAAAAAAACGTGACGTCATAATTCACATCTTGTACAAAATTCTCAGAAAACTGTCATTTTAGACAGTTAATAAAAGTATTGAATTTGACTAGTTGCCAAATACCGTATTATAGTTAAGTTTATGGATACTGATATAACATTTTTTGAGAAATTTACGAGGGTAAACCCGCGAATAAAAGCTAGTATTTCTAGTATTTATATAATTAGCTTACCTTTTAATAAGCTAGCCCTGGTCGGTGGCTGAGCGAGGCCGAGTAACACAGCCAATCTCTGTGCCTTCTCGACTGGGCTCTTGTCAGTTTCCACGAAGCGGTCGAATTCAGGGTGCAGGGACGGCAATGGAACCGACAATACAGCCACCAGGACACGACAGGCCATTCTGATGAAGAGGAAAAACGTTATCACATGTATTTGAAGTTGCGTTTAGGTTTTATGGCTAGACTTTTGTCAATGTGGGAAAAGACTGTCAACACTTTTCTCTGTTTTAGTAGACATACATGAATGAAATTGTAATTGTGACTGTTCTATTGTCCCTACAGAGTTCACTTTCAAATCTGTAAGTATCTATATAAATTCGGAATAGACCGAGATAAATATAGATTACAAACATCATGGATTAAGTTGAAAGGCTGTGCCGTCTTCAATTAACACAGAGTGCGCATGTGACGCTCCCTGTCGCGTCAAGCCGAGCGAATGATGTACCTCCGAGGCCTACCACAACTTACTACTGATAAGTTAGTTATGGGATTTATTTCGGAGGAATTTTAAAGAGTTAGCCCGAAAAAGAAGAACATTTATATATTACTATATTTTGTTTGGTGTCTTCTCATAGACTTCAATAATTTATTAATAATTAATTTATAGAAAAAAATGTACAACAGCATTTTTGGCGGGGATTATCTAATAGTACTAAAATTATCATCTATGTTTATTACAAAACATATTAAAAACAGAACATTTAATCAACTTACTTCTGCAATTCCTCTTGGGTGATATTTTTCTTCATCTCCCTGGACAGCTGGAAGAGTTTGAGCAGAGCAGCAGCATGGAACAGGCAGTGGCCAGCCTTCCAGAAGACCAGAGCCAACTTGCCATAATAGTTAGCCATAGTTTTGGCTACAGGAGTCTTTTTAGACATGTTCATGAGGTTATGGATGTCCTCAATCGCTTTGTAGGCTTCCTGTTGAAGGAATTAAGTAGTTTTACTATCTTGTTCAGAAGAACAAAGTCGTGGTGGACCAAAAATTCAAGACGCTCACTTCTCAAGTATGTGGGTGGGTTTCCAAAACCTGACAAGTACCAAAGTGACTTTTTCCGAGTTACACGTTTGTAGTTTCTAAGATTATTCAGACACCAGTGGCATATGGTGAAGGAAAACATGATGAGGAAACCTGTACTTATAATTTCTTTAGAAGTTTGAAATTGCCAACCCACCTTGAGCAAGTGTGGTGGTTAATGCTCAAACCTTCTCTGTGTGAGAAGAGGCCTTTGCTCCACAGCGGCCACTTAGAGGCTGTTGATGATAATGGATAGAGAAATTTGCACATACCTGCCACAATTCCATTTGGATTGCGCTATCCAGTTGGAACAACCTGGTTTCCAAGTTAAGCTGCTGGGTCTCCGGCTTGCTGATGCTCACATTGCCAGTTTGCACCTATAAAAAAAGTAGAACATCTAAATCATTCGAATATTGGGACGAAACATCTATATACAGTATCAAAAACCACAGCACATAAACAGTATAGCTGTATTCTAGTGCTGTATGGGTTTTCTTAAAAATTGTTAATAATTGAGAACATTTTATCAAATGTTTGTGCCGTCTTCAATTAACACAAAGTGCGCATGAGACGCCCCCTGTCGCGTCAAGTCGAGCGTATACTGTACCTCCGAGGCCTACCACAGCTTACTACTGGATAGTTAGCTGTGGGATTTATTTCGGAGGAATAATTAATATTAGACTAGTAACTACACGCGGTTTCTTTCACCCACTCTGCTCGGATGTTTTATATTTATAGCCTATAGGCTATGTTTTGGATAGCCTATAGCCTAAGGCCTTGCTCAATGAATGGGTTATCCAACACAAAAATATTTTTTCGAATCAGACTATTAGTTTCTGAGATTAGCGCGTTCATTCAAACATACTCTTCAGCTTTAAAATGAATATAAGTATAAGATATAAGATTTTCATTATCAGACCAAGTTTTTGATGTGAATTTTACGGCAAATTGCTAACATCCATAACTATGAAACTAAGGGCTAAATTTTTTTTCAATGTCATCTTTCTCATGAAGTTCATTAGCACATAGACAGTTTGAGATAGGCTCATAAGTTCGATTTCTTATTTGTTTATTGCCTTCCTCCACTTTATTCATTCAACCAATATTCTTGCCATTTGAGTAATTCACAAGATTCACAAGATCTTGACTTACGATCAGAAAAAAATCAATCATTCCAAAAGTTACAAAACTTACGGTGGGCTTGCAGATATCTTCAAGATGCTTTCTCAATTTGTCGCAGAGCTTCCTGAACTCGGTTTTTCGGGAGTACTTGAGACAGAACTGGAAGGCCATGCGAGCAATATCGTGGTACAATGTCTCCACGTGAGCATTCGTACGGAGGAGCTCCAAGCATTGACAATACGATTCCCATAAGAATTTCACCTGAGAAAAGAAAAATATTGTTAAAAAAAATTGGTTGCCTGTAAAGTCGGTATACGGGCGAAAGTTTTACGTGACAACGACTTTGAGTGGTAAAATAATTTTAATGTGAATATTCATTCGTATAGTAGGAAGAAGGATGAAATAATGCACTTTTTATGTCTGTCTCTCGCTCTTAGGCGGGCTAACCATGCCCGAGTGGAAGGGACGCGTGCCTCTCACTCGCTCTCATTGTGAGCGCATAACGTGAGCGGAGCGTAACGCAGTTTCTTGAAGTGTCACCCGGCAAACCAATTTATAAGACGTTGTCACGTCAAAATAAATGTTTTAAATTTGTCTTTGTGTATTGTTAAGTTATTTTTGTAAATTAATAATCTATTGTTTGATAAAAGCTAGTCTAAACAATATGATGGAATTTTAATTAATCTTAAATTGCACTAAAGGTTTATACATTGCTTAAGGTCCTTATGCTGTGACCCAGAAATAATTACAGGACAGTAAGCTCCCTTTTTAAAGGGCCCACAATCCCCACATTTTGCACAGCTTGCAAATCACAGTTAGTTAAGATAGGTCTACTACCCTTAGTAGACCTGGTGCCTCCTCGGTGACCTAGTGACCAATGGGGAGGTTTTAGTGTTTTAGTGAGGTAAAAAACTATTTTTCTTTCTTCGCAAAAACCTAGGCGCCTTTTGTAGGTTTCCCCCCATTAACCAAAAAATGCAGTTAGGTTATAGAAAATCTGTTTTGTTCTTTTGTAACTAATTGCAGCTTTACACCCAGATATCAGACCATAAGGTAATCTAGGTAGGTATTTCTTTTATTAACTTACCCATGGTGTAAGGATAGTCCTATCAGATCTATCCTGAGCGTCTTCTCCAGACACAGCACTGAGCAGGATGCTCTCGGGAGTAGCAAGGTTATCCAGATCATCAGTCTCAATGACTGCTGCAGTGGACTGCTCACGAGCCGCTTCTGTGCGCTCTTCTGCCATACGTAGGTAGCCCCTGAAGAAATTGAACATTAAGAGTCATCAGCAAGAAAATATCAGTTGTGAAATACTGATTGATTCAACACAAAATTGAACAGTGCAACATAATTTTCACAGCAAGTTAATCACGGCAAAACCTGCTACACAACTATAAAACTCTTACCTTATAACTTGTTCCAATGAACCAACATTGACAGACTGAAACATGTTTCTGTATTGGAACAAACCCTCTTTGGCAATGTGTGACTTGCGCAAGTCCACACAGAGTTCCAAATACTTGAACATGATCGGCTCCAACACCGACTCGGACCAGTTGTACGCCCATTTTTTATTACGGAATACTTCTTGCAGAGTATCTAAAGCTCTTGCAGGTTTGTCCAAGTCCATAAACTCTGTTAGAAAAATAACATTGATTAGGTAAATAGTGTTTTATTTGTGTCTATAATTAAAGAATGTCTTGTGTTGTGACAAGTGACAATGACAATCTAATATTATGCCAAACTCTTGAGGGAATAAAGTGTGTATGTATGTGATGTGACTTTTCTATCATACTTTGATTTAATTGTGTTAAATAGAATGTTTTTTTTTTTAAGGGGGGAAAATCATCGAATGACTGCTCCCGCCTGGGTGAGGCGGAAGGGAGTGTCACTCTTACTGACTAAAAACCACCCCGTTCCTTCTCCTGCACGTCGAGCCGGAGCCCCGGTTACCCGTTAGGTTCTCCGCGACTAAATAGAATGTTAACCCTTTGAGTACCATCATTATAGACACAATTAAAGAACAATAGGTTGCGGTCACCGTTGTCCTCGCGGTGTTTGACAGTTTAACTTATTTGATATAGATACACTGTAATGCAGTTTCAATAAAATGTTCAACAAAATACCAAATACAACATATTTATTTCGCATCTATCATTATAGTCTGAATTTCTGAATCTCGTATTTCTCTGTGCTGTTAATGTTTATAGAATCCTGATACCCATAACACAGGTTAAATAATAGCTATTTATACCATATGTCAGCAAGTTGCAATCATGTTCTAGTTGATAACAAAATTACATGCATGTACTAATTTGAATTTAATTTCTCATGGAATTAGGTATGATATCAATTGTAAACATGCTAATGATTGTTTAAATAGGTACAGTCATTATTTATTTAAGATAAATGTTTAGAAAACATAATATATCAATAAGGTTGTATTATTCATCAATTTGTCCCAGTGTTTCTTTCTTTTGATTTACTCATCAATGTTTTGTCAAAATATAACATGTTTGAGGTACTTTATTCATACTGTTAACAAGCTAATAATAAAAAAATAGCATTTTAAATATCCCAATAATCTAATATAAAACTTTCTTTGAATGAAACTTTTATGTTGTTTTTTTTATTAATATTATGTTTATATTTTAGTACTTTCTGAGCAGCTATAAATTAGTACATCAATTTGTGATTAGGTTATCCCAAAGACGTGTTACGCAAAGCTATGCATGAAATTATGCAAACTCAGCACTTTGGTTATGTTTCGAAAACATCAAAGACTACGCAAATATCATCAAAAATTGCGTCTTTTATTAGTAATAAGTGAAAATAAGGATAATTTTAGGTCCTACATATGTAATATCAAGGAGATGAGGTAAAAGTATAAGGTCACAAGCTCCTATCAAATCGTACGTGCAACGTGGTATTTATTAAATATGCGGTACTCACCATTAGCCCGTTTAAGGGCATTCTCCGGTCTCTGACCATATCTCGCCATGATGTACACTGCACTTTTCACTTCATCCACACAAATATAACGTTAGAAACGTAGTACAGAACAATTTTATTGCAATGTTCTGTACACCGGCCTGTCAGGAGACAGGAGAAATCAAAATGGCCGAATAGACTTGGGCCAAGTCAATCTCGATACTCGAAATCGATGTATCAAAATATCGATACTTTTCTGTACATTAATCGGCACAATAATGTAATCGATTTTTTAATCGATATATTAATATTCACCGTCAAATATGGAATCGTATCGTACCAATTTTAATATATTTTGTATGGGTTTAGTATTAAATGTAATTATGTATAAAAACGTACGCTTTTCGCGTATCGTTGACGTTCAAAATGCTTTGACATTTTCAATTCGCAGGTTTTATATTTATATCTAATAATTATAATTTGGTGAATATTTTGTGCACAATGAATATTATTAAAGCAATATAATTTCGACACGATAAAATATCAATAAAAATATTTTTCACTTGCTCATCCCTATGGCCAAATCGGGATTTTTTGTCAGCTTCAACATTAGTAGTTATAATGTCATATTGGATACCAAGTCTTTTTAGCACACTCCGTAGATATCACGTGATCACAAACGCAATGTTTAGTAATTCCCAAGGAACTGTATTTCCATTTTCAAAGTCCTTGATTTTCAACTCAATTAAGTATTTTCATTATTTGTTGCATTTGTGATTGATTTTTGTGTGATTTAGCTCAGTTTTACATACGTTGAACAAGCAAATCGTTTTTAGATTTATGTTTATGCATAGAGCAACACGGGCCACCGGCGGAGTTGCTCTATGTGTTTATGCAAGGATGTTGAAGAAATGTGTTTATGTTACAAATAAATTAGCATTGTGATTGATTAACTTTCATAATTTATTAAAAATATACAATACAAATTATTTATATTTTAAACATGATTAAAAAATCAAGGCTTCTATGAACCTTTGCATTGGAATTTCCACTAAAATTGTGATTGGTACAGCGATCACATAGGTGATTAAGTTAGTTGCGCACCAGTCCACCACCTGAAATAATAGAAAATATTATTACGTCTGCATAACACATCACATTAATTTCTAGTTTGTGGCTACTGCTGACCAAAGGCATCTTGTTGCATAGAAAAGGTTTGAGCATTAATCACCCCGCTACCTCAAAGCAGGTATACAATTTCTGCTAATATGAACGTGATGAGTTGAACCAAAAAATCCAAGACTACCAGACGGATTTTTGTATAAGTATACGGTTTTTATTAATAGATAGTATTATCGCATCATAAGTGAGCAACCACAACAACCGACACACACGACTGTTTTGTTATCTCAGGTAGAAGATCGTGTGAAGGTTCTTATGAAGGAGATTTAGTTGCGAAAATTGGGAAAAGTAATATTTTCGCTGCAGCTGTGAGCGGGCCGTTATTTAAACAAATCGTTGTCACTAGGGAAAAGTGGAGAAGTTGGGAATTATACTAGTATACACGTTATATCTATCGTTTCACTAACCATATCAATCGCAGACGTTCCATAAGCTACCGATCTGTTGGCGATGGTCATATCGACGCACCAGTGCAGCATCATCACTGTCAACGACATGCGTGCCATCGTTCGCCAACCGCGCCAGCTGTAGAACTTACGTATTGGTCCTGGAAACACAATTGTAAGCTAAAGTACATATAGGAAAGTTGATAAAGAATAAGTTGCGTTTTGAAAAACGACCAGATGTTCGTTAAAATGTTTTGGACATAATTAATGATGCGGTTGATTTATAAATTTGTGTGACTCAACAATTGGGATGACGACAGGGTATGAAAATTAAAAATATAATTAGTCCGTAAGATAGGTAATGAAAAAATATTAGACACGTATTTTTTTTAAAACAATACTTATATAAAGCGAATCAAAGTTTGGGAGTGGGGGCAAAAACGTCATTTCTACGTATAAAATGTATGTATAAAAGTGACGTCACGCGACATTTCAAATCAATATATCATGGAAAGTATTCGTGTCTGTAAGAAAATCAAAAATACATGTCTAATGATTTAAAATATTCTACCAAACGAACATTAAAATAAAAATTAGGCATCTACCCTATTAATTTTATGTCATAAATGTCCACTAAGGAGACTTCCAGCCCTGGATAGCATTCGACAAATGTATTTTATGTGCAATCTCCTTAGAATCATGATGAATCTAACTGATGAATCATTCATCAGTTACAGGCAACACTTTATAAAACTCTCCGTAGAATTATCTTACCGTCGATATGGAATACTCCCATAAGACAAACGCACATAAGTATACAGAACATCGGGCGGTCGAAAGCTATGTAAGCAGCATTGAAGAGGCTGGATGAATGCTCCCGTGCATATACACCAGTTAGGGCCCACACAAATAACATGGGAAACGTCGTGTAATGAAGGTAGACGAACCACTGTAAGATACATGAATAAATAACATTAATTTAGACTACACATTAAGCTTTGGATAACTTGTAGGTATAAACTGACTGCTGAGTGTGTGGCGAGATCATACAAAGTCAGATCATGATAAACTGGTTGTGTATAGCTTCAGTGTGAGAGAGCCATGCTTTGACACGAATGGGTTGGCTCGACCGGAGTGATACCACGGCCGAGCAGAAGACCAACGCGAAGCAACGCTTGCTTTGTGTTTCGTAGTGTAAGTAAGGTTACCGGAGGCCCGATTACCCCCCTCCCGTTCCCCAATCTCCCCAATCCCTTAATCCTCAAGGCTCCTCAAACTCCTAATCCCTTGTATCGCACTTGTAACGCCTCTGGTGTACCGGGGGTCCATGGGCGACGCCGATTGCTTACCATCAGGTGATCCGTCTGCTCGTTTACCGGCTTATGCCAGAAAAAAAACTTGATATGCAGCCGTATTTATGTAGTAACAAAATGAAGACAAATACTTTTTAGTAGAGTGTCGCCCCCAACATACACTAATACTTACTTTATAGTCAGAAAGTTTGATTTTCCTCTCGTCCAATGCAAACTGAATATTAGCGAGAATTAAACCAATGAAGCAAGCTGGCAGCGCTCCCCAGGATGATAAGTAGAACTCAGTGAAAGATGGGGTGTCTCTGAATATTCTACGGATTTGTCTGAAAGAAAGATGTACTGGATTATTAATTAATTAATTACTTAAACAAAAGAATATTTCAATTGTTTTTGGAATGTTTTCATTTAAATCGATATCAAACTGTTTGGTTATTAGATCGACGAGTTCCTACTTTTTTTTAAACGCAGGTTTGTACCAGCAGTCAAAGTATCTTTTTACTAATTCGTTAATTTTCTTGGAGTCTGATACTCACTCAGGAGTTGCTAGGTATATCATAGATCTGTAGTCCTTCATATACGCAACAAATCCGTTCAGAAGACAGGAAGCGAAGAAGAGAACCAAGTATAGTCTTACTGCGAAGCACCGTCGACGCCATAGCAGGAGCGTGAAAGTACATGCCAGTATATACATGTGCATATTCACTGGTAAGAACCTGAAGAAATATTGAGTGTAACAATAAATATGATTACTATGATATTAAGTATCCGATGGACAGAGGTTTGGTATAAGTGAGCGAGCTACAGAAGCAGGGAGCTAAAGGTCTCGCCGCACAAATAGCCAGGGCACAGCTTAATGCTGCGGGCACCAAGACTCGAGTCTACGGCGCTGATTTTCAACAATAACTAATACGAATTATAAATAAAATATAAAATAAAAATAATTTATTTCGGACATCTAAGAGATCCATAAAATTAATATCTATACCATACATTATTAATATCATACCATCGCAGTCATACAATAGTTAGTCAAATATCATAATTACATTAAAATCAGTCATACTTAAACTTACAGAGAAAATGTCAACATAGATTCAAAATTTCATCATCATCATCAACAGCCTGTTTTCGTCCACTGCTGGACATAAGCCTCTCCAATGGCACGCCACTGAGCTCGATCTTCAGCTCTACGCATCCAACCACTACCAGCCACTTTACGTATATCGTCACTCCACCTAGCTGGAGGGCGCCCTACACTACGTTTGCCTAGAATTGCCAAAATTTCAACCATACAGAAATACATAATTATTATTAAATTAAATTATTAAATAACTCTCCTCACAAATGACCTCCAGAGTGGGGATGAGAATCTATCCGCCACAGTCTCCAGGATTTTGTTCAATTATGTAGGTTACTTATAATTACCAAGTAAAAACCAAAAGTAGTCCATAGTTAAATCGACGTCAGAAATTAACATCTCACTTAAGAAACAGTTTCCAGTCTCAAAGTAGGTGATATTCCACTTTCCACAAAGGATCCAAATGTTACTCACCATGTTGGAACAACGCAATATTTGTCAGAGTCCACGATATTGTTCACTAGGAACACATGTGACCAGAATTTGGTCGTACAAGCCTCGCTCTCCAGACCTATGGTGGTGGAGACCAGTGGTCCATCCCTTGTATTCAACCACCAGGTTGCTCCGAATCCCACTATCAAGAGGTGAACAGGAGTTATCCTGCAAAAAAAAATTAGGTATCTTCACACCATCAGCCCATAACAGTCCACTGTCGGACAAAGGGGCTTCTTGACACGAGCGGGGTTTGCCATAATCTAAACGCGTGGAAGGTGGATGGAGATCGTAGTCTTAAAGGTTCAGGTTTATTCCAGAGCACCGGCTCTGTCAATTTTGTAGTTTTTTTTTGATGGGAAAATCATGCAATTATTTCTCCCACCTTGGGTTTGGCGCGAGGGTGTGTCAGACTCTTATTGATTAAAATCCACGCCGCTCCTACTCCTGCTCTTGGAGCCGGAGCCCCGGCAACCCGTTAGGCCTTCCGCGGTTCCGTTAATTTTGTAGTCTGGAGTATTTTAGTCAGCTCTTATGACACGACACGCGCGGGATGAGTACGGGTAGTGATCAATGTCTTCTACTTTATCGTCACCACACGGCAGGTCCATATTTTATCTCAAGGATTACATAAAATACCATCACGCCTTTTATTCTCGAAGGGGTAGGCAGAGGTGCACATTACGGCACTTAATCTGTACAATGTAACATTTATGTTTTCTACTATTTATGTTATAAGTCCCATGTAATAGGGGGTGAGCCTATTGCCATATACCGGGCACAATTCCAGAATCCGTACTAAGACTGAGAATGTTTAAATAAAATCCAGTAATACATTGCCCGACTCGGGACTACCTCAAAGATGTATAATCCAGTTAATCATATTATTATACACGTGCTTTGTAAGTGCCAAATCGTAGCAAGATTCAGAGTTGCGACTGACCTAACAAGCCGTTGGTCGTCCCTGCCAAATGATACAGCAAAGGTTATATTTTTACCTAGGCGCTTGTGATGTTAATCTGTAATCTACAAGGCGCTTGTGATGCCCCAAGGCCCAAGTGTTGCAAGTGTACATAGGCCACGGTAACCGCTTACCATCAGGTGGGCCGTGGCCTTTTTTGCCACCGTCGTGATAAAAAAAAAACCCATGAAGAAGATCTTAAGCTCCATGCAGTTTCAGGACTTACCTTATAAGTCGCTTAATAATACAAAGCGGTAGCATATACAACCCCAGCTCCTGTTTTTGAGAGTAGATCAGCAGGTTGTACCCAGTGAGGAAGCAGGTCATCATCACGAATGCTTGGATCAGGGACGTTCCATCTGACAAGTATATTCCGTCCAGTCTCTGGGTTAACTGTAGATAGGTACAAGAAATATTAAAAATTACCGACTCTCGTGCAGTGTCACCCGTTGCTCAACATCATCGTAATGTGATTTTTTATAGTCAAGTATATATATATATTTGGACATCAAGTTGTTGCTATAAATTTGATACTAATAATCTTGTTTTTATAATAACTATCGTGAGACATACTAAATTAATCAAAAATCGCGGGTAACTCGTGCGTGCGCGGTAACGGTGTAAGCTGTGCGACATCGCCGCGACTGCGCACGCTGCTCATGATGAAGCCTCTGTGGTTCGAAGCTAGTAGAGCTTTTTTTAGTATATTCACGTGAGTGACCCGCGATTGTAGTTGATTAAACATTTGAAGACACATGTGTTGAGTCGAGAACACAGGTATTAGTCTATAAGGCTTCCTCTCAATTGGACATAGCTATAGCACAGAATACTATCTAAACGGAGTTATTAAAGTATTCTAATACCTAAGAAAAATAGTATTAACTTTACCTTCTCTAAATATTCGGGATTTTTAATGTGGAACATGAAATGAATAACGTTGGCGTGAGCGTATGTTGTGAATCCAAGTGCCATCACCCTGAAACGTATTTTGTTATAATTATTATGGACATACCTACTTATTGTTCCTCATTAGTTCAGAGTGGGAAGGACATTTTTTATGGCGTAAAATATTTTTTATGAGATATTAGCTACTTCTGCGGGCTATTACCCGCTCTACTTAACTCCCATTGATAGCAGTGTGATGTTTTATAGCCTATAACTTTCCTCGATAAATGGACTGTCCAGCAAAAAAGAATTTTTCAAATCGGACCAGTAGTTCCTGATATTAGCGCGTTCAAACAGATAAACAAACATAATCTTCAGCTTTATAAAAGTATAGTATAAGATAAGTAAAGTATAAGATAAATATATATAATATTTAATGCGAGTTTCAAAGCATAGCTGGGCAGAATATCTATCGACTACTTTGCACATCAATGACACTATTGGCAGTCTACCAAGTGTTAATTTTTTTTCAAAAATCGATTAGCTCCGTCAACCGATTGACACATACCTGTCACCGTCTACCTATAGTTCTTTAATAGGAAAATTAATACAAGGATATAATAAATTAGGTATTCGTCGTGGCAGGCCCAGGAGATAACGGGACGAACTTGACGCCTATCAAAAAGATAGGCCACAGAATGTTATACGAAGAGGCGAGGAAGGTAGCGAAGCCTTAGCCTCTTAGTGGGACGACTATGGCTGATAATACTACCTGAGACCTTCCATGGGCACCAAGGCTGCTTGTCGAGGATCTCCACCTTCACGGATAAATGTCAGGCGACGCCAATTTGCTGGTATGGAGAACGCAGACAGAAGTTTGCTTTCTGCAATATTATAAAAGCATATTATGCTGATGAAACTGCTGCACTACATTTTTCTTAGCTCTATTGGCTATTAATGGGTTTATAAATAACATTTCGTAATGTACCTATTTATTTATTTCGAACAGGTTTTTCTGATTGTGTTTAAGTAAGCTGTGTCTATAAAGTGTTGGAAATTTAAGACAATTTTACGGACTCTATTTTAAATGAAACTACTTTTGGCCGAACGCCATTTTATTAATTAATAGCTGTTGCCCGCGTAGAATATAAATTTTAGAACATTTTTTTTTTGTTTCAATTTTACAAAATAAACGTAGCCTATCTTCTTGGTACATCAACTACCTGCCAATAAAAGTCTCGCAAAATCGGTCAGCCATTCCAGAGATTATAGTCTGTACAAACAGACAGACAGACAAAGAGTGTAAAAAATGTTATTTTGGTATGTTTTTCGTATGTATGTATATTCATACATTCAAATTACGAACAGTCATTCCAATTTTATTTATCTGTGTAGATAAAAAAGAAACACAGTGATAAATGAAAAAAAAACTTACTGTTAGGGTTGTCACCAGCGAAATTATCATAAATGGTCCCCACAATATTAGCAATTACCAAGGCATAAACCACATTCTTGAAGATTAGTTCTGCAGAAGTGGGGGGTCTTTCCGAAGCTTCGATGATGTCAGAATGAGTGCGACAGTAGTCCACAGACTTTATGGAAGCGTGGAAGTTTTCTGCTTGCATATAGAAGTTTGTGCATCTTTCGAAGAGTTTTTCAGGGCTGTCTCCAAGGTCAAATGTAGTGTTAAAGCGTGCTAAAGTAGCCGAGGAACATCTTTCGCTCAAACAGTAGCCGCGATATATTCTAGTTCGGTTAAAGTGACGATATGATTCATCTGAATAAGCCTGGAATTCAATAAACAATGTTATAAAATAATTTTATTAGTTTGCAGCAGAGATGTTGTGGATATGAAATTTCTGGGATACTGCCTCGTTGGCCGATGAGTTGCAAGTTTGACTGCCGAGCAAGGGGTCTCAGTTTCAATTCCCGGGTCGGGCAAAGTACTACTGAGTTTTTAAAATTCTCAGCAGTAGCACGGAGTCTGGAGTTGTGCCCGCTATATTGCAATAGGCTCACCCCCTTTTACATGGGACTCATGACATAAATAGTGAAAAGTGGGTGTTACATTGTAAAGTGGCATTGAGTGCCGTAATGTACACTTCTGCCTACCCCTTCGGGAATAAAAGGCGTGAAGTTATGTTATGTTAGTTATGTTAGAAGAGATTATTATATTGGATACGGTTATCCGTTAGTTTCGGATAATTTCAGTTACCTACGGATATTAAAAAATTAAGGAATTTTAAAAGTAAAATACAAATAGCTAATATAGTGGTTTCATTTATATGCGACGCCCCTATCCGATACTTCCGATAGTATCCGAAACTTTTATTTCGGATTCGGTTAAGGTTACGGATGGTTTTTTATATCGTATATCCGATAGTTTCGGTTACGGTTACGGTTACGGAGCTCCCTAACATCCCTGGTTTGCAGAGACAACAAGGAGTTTCTTGTTGGTGTTAGGAAAAACCAGGGCCGAAGCCTAGTAGCTTATAATTCAGTACTCGCCTTCATTAAATCATAAGTTGTGTGTGGCAGTTGCGCCGGTGTGAGATCGAAGGTGCCAAGGCAATACACTCCATCCTCCTTTGCTAGACATCGCTCATAGTCATCCAGATGAAATAGTGCAGGGAAACTGGATGTTTCCACGTCTAAAAGAAATATAAATAAATAAAGAATAAAATCTTTTTATTTCAGACATATTGTCCATACATTTACAGTTTATCATTTTTATATAGGTACCTATATAAATATTCTTATTTGTATTTAATTTACTAGCGGACCCGACAGACGTTGTCCTGTAATAATAGGTATAGATAAATAACCTAGAAACCGACTGCAACGCTATCTGCCGGGCTGTTTTGTGAATCTAAACCATTCCCAGATCCCCTTGAACACACACAATAAATAATAATTATACATATAAAGATTACATTATAACACCGCATTATCAATCCTTAATTTAATATGTTGTCAATTTAGTCAATGTTAATGTAGGTAAAAATATCATCACATTTAACAAGAAAGGAAGAGGAAAAGTGAAAAACAATTTTTTTTTAACAATAGATTTACTTATTTGCCTCCTTCTGGGGCACCGGGCACGCACACTTGAGTTTGATGACAGGGTATGAAAATTAAAAATTTAATTAGTCCGTCAGTTAGGTAATGAAAAAATATTAGACACGTATTTTTTATTTTGGTTAATATAATAAAATTATACTTAGATAAAACGAATCAAAATTTAGGAATGGGGGCTAAAACGATATTTGTACGTATAAAATGTACACAGAAGTGACGTCACGCGACATTTCAAATCAATACATCGTCGAAAGTATTAGTTTCTCTAAAAAAATAAAAAATACGTGTGTAATGTTTTAAAATAATCTACCAGACGGACATTAAAATAAAAATTAGTCATCTATCCTATTATACTTAAGTGCAACTTAAAATTGAGTAGCTTTTTAATGTATCGTAAATCGTTATAATATGGTACTGATATCACGCTTCTTAATTCCTGGGAAAATAGGTGTAATAGGTTATAATAAGAGGCACATATTGTAACGGTGACGTAGCACTCACGTTTCGCCAATTGTGGTTTTGAAACCAAACTCTTTGCAAAAAGATAATAATTACAAAATTTTGAAAAAACTAAAATATTTTTTGATACTTTGCCATCGAATGCTCTGGGCCGAAAGTCTGACACTCTGGCTGAGGTTTTATTGTCGCGGTCACTGCACGCTGACCGTCAGCGCTCATAGCCGAGATGTATGAACTTGATGGTCAGCGCTGACCACCGTGAAGTTCCTAACCGTAACGATCGTAGAAGTTCATATATCTCCTCCAATCAGCACTAGAAGTGCACGTGCCATGAGCGTTAGAAAGAAACCAGCCTCCCTCGCGCCTCACCCAAGGCGAAAGCATTGGATAATATTTCCCTCCTCAAAAAATATGAATATGTTTCTACATATGTATATGAACGTAAATCTGTGAAATTATAAAGAATCATGCTGCTTAAAAGACAAATCGTCAAACGATTGAGTTGAAATTTTGTATAAACTTTTATATGCATAAACATTAATTAACCAATATGACGTTATAATTCGATGCCAATATTATACAAGATGCGTAAAAGCTTGTTTTTAAAGACTTATATCTAATGTTATTTAATGGTAAGATAATGTCATTTACCTGTATATTCCCTCGCTGATCCAAATGTAGCAAGCAGTAATATGAACACAGTTGTCACCGCCATCACTATTTCAAAACTAAATGAAGTACATACATATCATTATTACAGTTCGGTGGCACTCTCGCATAATTTACAATATATTATTATTTCTTTTTCGTGTTTTTGTACGATTAATTGATTTGTAATGTACCTTATTGTATTGATGTTGTTTGTTCCCGATAAGTACTTAAGTGCCGAGGCGTCCAAGGTTCTAGATTAACGTGCATAGGTACCTATTTCGTAGAAAGGAATTAAAACTAATTGCTAGATATTGTTTTTACTTATTAGGTACTAGCTTCTGACCGCGGCTTCGCTTTGGTTTAAAAGGCTTATTGTGAGTTATTTCAGAGTTTCAGACCATTCCAAACATAATATATACCTATTCCAAATTGCATCCCGATCCCTTCAGCCATTTTGTTGTGATCGAGTAACAAACATATACACAGACACACAAACTTATTAACAATTGCCCATCTCATCATCAGATCCTGACCTAGTGGTATGTAACCACCTCGGAAGTATGCTCCCAAACCGAGAGCATTCGTGTAATGTAACGTGACAGATCTAAGCATTACATCAGTGAAGGAGGAGAACTGAGCATTACAATGCGCACCTTGTAATGATACAATGTGTAATATCTTGATACAACTTGTAACATCGATACGCTCCGCACTTCCCCCAGCCACAGCTATGAAATGCTCAAACTGCTCAAAGTCGAATCAATATGTTACATTACACGCAAATGCTCGTTGTTACATTAAGCCGGGTCCATGCAGACGAGTGTAACGTGTAAAGTAATCCACCGTGTAATGTAACACGAATGTTACGTGTTACGTGTGGACGGCACTACGAGCATTACATGTAACGCTCGCGCGGCGCTCGGGGTTGATACATTACACGCAAATGCTCGTTAGTCAGGGAGGTATTCTTGTAATGTAAAGCTCAATGTCGAATCCATAATGTTAGGTACATTACACGTGAATGCTCCCGGTGAGGCACATTAACATTTTGAACAAAAGAAGATCAGAAAGTCGATAATCGGCGGAGTAACCGGATAACATAGATAAAAAAGTCAATCGAATAGAGTTCCTCCACCTTTTTTGAAGTTAGTAGAAAGTTACCGTTAAGTTACAGTTAAGTGTCACTTAAAAGTTGTTGTAAACCAAAATGTCGTTTATATCTTAAGGGTTCCTTAAAATTTAAGAGAGGTTGATGATACTGAAGGTCGACGACGTCGATACGATGTCAATAGACGTCGTGCCAGGTCCAAAAGGAGATGGGAAGAATTGGATATGCATAACAAGGATTGACCGCAAAAAACTTTATATAGAGAGGAGTGGAAGGAAGCCTTTGCCCCGCAGTGGGGCGATCATGGCTGAAAATAAATATAAATAAAATGATGATACTGATAACGGGCATCAGTATCTTAAATGTAAGTGCAATCTTTTAGACTAGAGTCTAAAATAAAGGACGCACAGACTCACTTAAGGCTGCGTCTACATCGGGCGAACGTTCCGCTGTCGATCCGTTTGCGGGCTGCCCGGGTACAGTCACGGTTACTGGTTTGGTGCTCAACTCCTACAAGGTTCGTGCAATTTTTAATTTCTGTGATGCAAATAATAATTTTAAATGCACACCCGTGCATTTACTGAGCACCCGCTCAGCTGGCAAGTTGCACATTCGTGGAGCATTCACCAGATGTGGACACTCCCTTAGGCATTTACGACGGTTAAATAAAAAACACTGTTCATAAAGCAACAGTTCTATATTTTATAAACCATACCACCATGTATTTGTTGGGGTCCAATGCGACATTATTAGCAGTCTATCAGTCGGCCACCAAGCTGTAGTATGTTGTGATGACTTGAAAGGATTTGGAATAAATCTCGGTGATTCCTCGTTACCGAATAGAGTAACTTCAATCATTGCTGAAAACGAAAAAATAAATCGAACTTCGACAAACGCAGATGTCTTGAAGTAAACGAAGCATAGCAATCTGGAAAATAAAAGAAAAAAAGGAATATTTATAATACTAATCCACATTTCATTCTATAGTTACTAGCTTCTGCTCGGAACTTCGTACGCGCAATCCCATTTTCTCCCGTTCCCATAAGATTTTCAGCATTTTTTTTCTATCATAAGAACCTTCTCCTACCAATAACAAACACAACAAAAAAAGTAATCAGCCAAATCGGTCCAGCCATTCTCAAGTCATGGCGTGACAACGGGAACCGGTTTACATTTTTATATAAATTTATTAATTTTTTTCATTATTATTTTTATTTATTAATTTGAGGGCCTTAAATTTAAGGCCACTGCTAGGCTGTTCTGCAAGATGACAATGCGGTTCGCTTGCGGGTCATTGGATGTGAAAATATGGATGGATCCATCGACAAGGAGTTCACGTTCACACATTGGAGCCCAAATGGTCCCGTACAGTTCGGTTTCAGAGGAATTTTCTCCCACGGACCCTCCGATTGTGGAATGAACTCCCTGCCGTGGTTTTCCCAGTGGGCTACAACATAGGGTTCTTCAAGAGGGGAGTGAATAGGTTTCTTAAGGGTCGGCAAGACGCATTTAATGACCCAAGTGTTGCAGACGTTGGTATATGCAACGGTAACCGCTTACCATCAGGTGGGCCGTGTGCTTTTTTGCCACCGTCGTGGCATAAAAGAAAATAAAAAAATAATATCGACCAATGACGGGCTAGAATGCGGTCGAACTCACTTGGACAGTTCGAATTGATATCTTACAGAATAGCCTAACTACAAGGAGTTGTCCGGTTAAGTATTCAATAGCGTTGTGCTACAGGTTACAGTGCTACCTATACCACTGGACCTATCAAAAATGTATTTATATTTACCTTTCTCTGTCTCCACCTCTGCTCTGATTGTAAGCAAGTCCCATCATGTCAGGGTGGCAGTTGTGTTCCAACCAAATAGCAGCATTTGTTCTCATTTTACAATCCAGGGAGACTTCGACACACCTAAAACTAGCTATCTGACTAACCACGACCTAGAAAAAGTCAACAAGTTTATTTTCTACATCATTATATTAATTCTTTTTGCTATTCTCTTTCAAGCCCAAATGCAACTACCAAAGGGAGCGTTCAGTTACCAGGTCGATCAAAATTGAATAAAGTCATTACACATTTGAGTTAGATGGGGCACACAAAAAACATTCTGTAAAAAACTATACAAGTCTCGAAAGAGCTGATTGTTTTATTATTAATGTTTTATTGTTTATCTCTAAAATGTTATGAAATAAATATAGTCGTGCCAAATCTTCATCATCATTATCAACAGCCTATAAAATGCTCACTGCTGAGCAAAGCCTCTTCTCATACGGACAAGGTTTGAGCATTAATCATCACGCTTGCTCAATGCAGGTTGGCGATTTGAAACTTATAATTAGAAATTATAAGCCCAGATTTCCTCACGATGTTTTCCTTCGCCGTTTGTCAGTGGTGTCTAAATAATCTTAGAAAGTGCATATAACTCGGAAAAAGTCATATTAGTACTTGCTATTGGTAGGTTTCGAACTCGTACTCTCATGCAAGAGAAGCGTACGTCTTAAACCTCCGGGCCACCACGACATCGATCTAATAAGTTCTTTATTTCTGTTTCTTTATTGTTATAGTTAATGGTCGAATAACAACTGGTCGTTGAACACTCTTTCTATGTCAGTGGGTCCAAGTCAATGGGCAAGTCACACAACCTTAGACTTGGCATGACTTTGGGTAAACATTACTTTTTTGAGATAAACAAGCAGATTCATTGAGACTTGGCTAGATTTTGTACTCAGTGTTTTTATGGGATTTCACTTTCTTTTCTAGAAACGTAGGTGACAATGGGACATGAAGCGGCCCACCAAATTGAATATTTTTTGTAATGACGGTAAGTCAATATTTGTAATAGTTTGGTTGGACTCTTATGTTTTCTAATCAGGGTAACCAGTACTCCAGATCTTTGATTATCCTAGTTTTTATAGTTTACCCTTTATTTGGCCATTTAACCCTAACACTGAATAAAATTTCAGCTCTATGAGTTTATGGGAAGTAATAATTCTAATTTGAATGACCATGAGTGAGTTAGTTATAAATGTGAAACTTTGCTTTCACTTAACTTTAGAATTAAATGACCTGTAGACTTTAAATTTTGGATTATAAGTATGTAATCATAGGTTACTGGATGACGAACATTTTGCGTTTTGGTCTTATCCAGAGGTTCTTAACTAGGGGCCTGAAAATGTGGGTAATGGCAAATCCAATAAATGGTACGGCAGTGTTCACTGAACCTTTTGAGAATGCTAAATACTTAACCTGTACCAAAATATAAGTAAAATAAAATTACTGAAATATACTATGTAAGATACTCACATGGAAAAATCCTTGCGCAAGATTACTGTTAGTGTTAAATTCAGAACTGTCTTTGTAAAGGACACCACCTCGAGTTTTCCTTGAACATTGGCCCATACTTTTTGGTATTTTGGCATCGCCTGCAATAAATATATCTTTTGAATTACTATACTTTGTGAAAATAAAATTGCGGTATACGAAACACTAGTGTGGGAGAGCCATGCTTCAGCACGGGCCGGCTCCACCGGAGTGATACCACGGCTTCATAAAAAAACCGACGTGAAATAACGTTTGCGTTGAGTTTTCTCGTTGAGCCAGTGGATGCGGGTGGCGAGTTGTCGTTCGACGTGGAGGGCTAAGGGGGAGGCCTTTGTCCAGCACTGGACGTCTTCCGGCTGTTGATGATGATGATGATGAGTTTTCTCGTGTGAGCTGAGGTTAGGAGGCCCAATTATCTCAATCCTTGTATCCCCAACAATTCTTAAATCCCCAAAAGGCCTTTAAATGCCTCTTGTGTTTCGGGTGTGCATGGGCTTTTTGTGTGTACCTATATGCTTGATGTGTGTCGTGGCGTAATAAATGGTTTTTTTCTTTCTTTCTTTCTTTGGATATAATAACTGTTTTTAATATATCTGTGGGCGACACCGATTGCTTACCATCAGGTGGACCGTCTGCTTGTTTACCGGATTATTTCATAAAAAAACACAGCGTAACAAGATGGTAATTTAAAAATATCTATCAGCCTATCTATTAGACTACAACAGATGGCCCTGTAGATGATGCCTGACCGTCGGAACTGCGAACAACTTAACGGCTTACCGGGGTTCCGGCTCGAAGCAGAAGTTGGAACGGGGTGGTTTTTATTCAGTAAGAGTCTGACACTCCCTCTCACCTCACAAGGCGGGAGAAGGCATTAGATGATGTTCACTCCTCAAAATAAAAAAAATAATGCACTGATGTCCGCGGCAAGCTTCTAAGAGATGCAGTATGTTGCACAGCGCATTCAGTCCTTAGTTGGTTCATCGTACATTGCCGTAGCAGGCCGCGTATTGCTCGTGAATAAACATAATAATTATGTTGAACATATGAAGGACACCAGACGCGCGCCCCGCAACGATATCTTAGGAGTAGAAGTCGTGGTATATATTGCACTTACCTTTAAACAAAATGAATTTGTATGGAGATAGTCTACGCATAGCTAACTTGTATACGTCCTCATAATCTTCATAGGGTTTCCGAGTGATGATATCATTAATCCAGGGTAAGTAGTCGTGAATGTTTAGGAACCTGGTCGGAGCTTTACAACCGGGGCTTTTGACGGCGAAACCAAGCTACAAAGTTATAGAATGCTATAAAGGTCAGTTCACACAAAGATGCAAATCGACGGGAAGCGGTGCGTTCACTTTAAAAGAGCGATATTTAAAACAACTTTATTTTCTACAGGACAAGATAGAAACATTATTGTGCGTCGCCTCGCGTTGCGATGTGAACTTCAGTCCGATTCTGTATCACATCGATATTGGAGCTCGAAAGAACGTTAAAAACTCGGTTATTCTATTAAAACTTGTACGAATTATCGAAACGAAGTGAGACATGAAACTTCATAGTAATTTTTTAAAGAATACGGAACCGAATCCAAATGTGTTTACTGTTGAAATAGTTCTTTCGAGCTTCGATATCGATTTGGTGCGTTAGAAGAATCATTGGTTCTGACTGAACCGTAGAATGGTTCGTATAATACGTCGTCCGTGCAACTCGCTGGTGGCTCGTGAGCTGCGCATTCTATGTGGACGCACCCTAAGAACTTACTAAAGAAAGTTAATTTAACTGCAGAGTTAGCGCGGCGGGTAACTGACTGCCCCGCAAGCCGAAAAACATCCACAAATAGTTGTTCCGAAATTGTATGTTTACGTCACTGAGGAAAATACAAGTATGGGACAACGATGTTAAAAAATTAAATGTTTGCATAAGAGAATGCTTTTCATTAGTGGGGCAGAGGTATTGAAAAATGAGCTCACCAGTTTCCAAAATCCCCAAGACTGTCTGGTAACGAGTACGGTACCTGCGTCCCATACACATGGCATTGTAACATTCCCTGACACAGCCACAGCACACAACGGATTCACCGGGTTCGTCTTTCCAAATGATAACTGTGGGGTAGGTAAATATCTAAGTTCATTTACGGTAAAACGGGGCGAATAGAGACGGAAGAGGAGTGCATAGATACTAGAAAAAAATTCATAGTTATTATACATCCCGTATCTATTCAGCCGTCGAATTCTAATCACCCTGTTTTACGGTAGGTATGTCGTTTCTGCCCGCGGTTTTGTATGCGTTAATTACGTATAAAAAAGTATAAACCTTTCTTTTGAATTACTTTATCTATTTAAAAAAACTGCATCAAAATCTGTTACGTAGTTTTAAATCTAAGCATAATTATTATACCTGAGCTTTATAATAAAACTCTTCACAGTCTTGATCGTCCACAAATTTCATTTTATATACCTCTTTCTGCATTTCCTTCGTTGCTAAAAACAAAATATAATAATATTTTAAGTATCTATTGGATGTAATTTTTTTTATACTTTGATATAAGGCCATTAAGTAGGTAATAGGTGGTGCACGGGCGTGCAGACGGTGAACACGAGAAGCTCGCCGCCCGACCAGAGGGCCAAGCACGAATAACTATCGCATTCGTATCGTCATAGTATCGAGCGAGTTAAGCGTTCTGATTGGTTGGTTCACTTGAGCCGGCCAATCAGAGCGTCGAACGCGCTCGATACTATTACGTTACGAATGCGTTAGTTATTCGTGCTTGGCACTCTGAGCTTAGTACGAGTTAGTTTTACGTTAAAAGTAATCGAAACGAGAACGCGTTCGACGCTTTGATTGGTTGGTTCATTGGCACCGGCATCAATCATAATCAAGTGCTTCACACTTGTTTCATTTGTGATGATAATGATTCTGATCAGCTATCCTTGCTTGCCGTCCACAGACAAGCGCTTTCGGTAACCGGAGATCGTCACGATTTCGGCTTTGCCCGACTTTAAGTTTAACAGCAAATATGAAGTTTATACTCACTATCTGTAAATTTTATTGCGTACATATCAGTGAAAAGTCCACCTCCTTTCACAGGCAAGCAAATAGGTAACACTGGGGCTGTGAAAGAAACACAAACATAAAAATAATGTTACTTAAATAAAATAGATATCTACTAATATTACAAATACGAAAGATTGTCAATTTGTTCGTATGTTTGATAATTCAATCACGGCAAAACGGCTGAAAGAAATGTAACTTGGAACAAGGGTAGATACGGGTCTGGTTTACACAACCAGGATTTGAGCCGTGAGCGCAAAACAATTCACTTGACAACCGAGGCAGACATTTTAAAACAAGGAAACAAAGAATACAAAAATCAAACAGGACAAAGTTTAAAAACATTAAGTCTTAGTATTAATTGAAATAATTTTTGATTGAAATTCGGTACACATTGATTTGCAAACAGAATAGTTTTCATCACTGAAACGACGTAGGTACTCTGCACGGGTAAAACCCCTGTGAGATTGTTTATTTTTTGAAACCACGATAATAAACTCATTTTGCAATAAATATTCGCAAAAAATACTGAATCGATTCTGATTACATTTGTTACAGTTGTACAGCCGTAGAATATACCTTGGCAAAGACTAATTCAAAAACCCAATTTCTACCAGTAATCATTACGCGGACGAAGTAGCGGGTAACAGCTAGTGTAATGTATACATCACCTTTCCAGTCGTTCATCTGTGATTCACTCCACCCGACTAAGTCCAGAAGTGCAATGGTGGCAAGTGTCACTCTATTTTGGTATTGTGGATGTAGTATATAATCCATGACATCCACTGCGAATTTCTGCTTCTCATTGCCTTTGCTGCCCCAAAGAATTAGCTTCGTATTGTTCCTGAAAAAAGTTTGCACTTTTTATAGCAATAGGCCTTATTTTTTTTGTATCATAAGCCGGTAAACGAGCAGACGGATCACCTGATGGTAAGCAATCGGCGCCGCCGATGGACAGTCGAAATACCAAGGCGTTACAAGTGCGTTACCGGCCTTTTAGGTATGGGGAATTTGAAGATTGTGGAGGATTTGGGGATTTGGGAGACGGGGACTAGGTAATTGGGCCTCCGGTAAAGGACTCACACGACGAAACACAACGCAAGCGTTGTTTCACGTCAGTTTTCTGTATCACTTCGGTCGAGCCGGCCGATTCGTGCCGAAGCATGGCTCTCCCACACTTTAAGCTTATTTGCTGTGGGTAGACCGTAGACAAACGCACAGAGACGTTAATGGGGGATTTTCCCCATTAACAGTCTGAATTTACATACCAACATGCTCAACTTAATGCTGAGATGGAGGCCCTTTGGGCAAGGGCACGCACCGTTAAATGTTATTTATTTATTTATGTTTTGTTTTTATTAATTTTTAATTATTGTGTTAGTATTCTATTGTCACTGTTTTGTTGTTATACGTTGTCGTTTCTTTGTGGTTTTTTTTTCTATATCTGTATAAATAGGTGTATTTATTTGTTCTTTTCTTTTTTTTAAAGTTGTTTTTTTTTGTATCTGTGTGCGGGCTTACTGTCGAATAAATGATTTTTCTTTCTTTCTTTACCATTGCAGATACCAATGTCCCATGACACTCACTTGATTTCTGAAGGTTCAATCCTCGCCATATCTTCAGCTGCTGCAATCGCAAACGCAGGGTGAATGAGAACAGCTCCAGTTATTGCAAAATGAACCCTACCTGCTAAATCTGAAATATAATATTATTAGTATTTTATTTGTGCACCTCAATAGCGATAGCAATGTGTGTTGCTAATATTTTGGGAGGATCACGCCGCGCCGGTTTTCCGTGAGTATGGTACATCTCTCTAACGGCATAAAGATTCATTTAGATTGCACTTCTTTAAGAGCGTGGTCTAGATTATACTATAGAATGGACTGCACGCTTAGCGCGATGGCTGGACAACCGATTGTCGCGCAAGGTGTAGCGGGTTCGATTCCCGCACAGAGCCACACCTTATGTGATCCACAAATTGTTATTTCGGGTCTGGGTGTGATATGTATGTGAACGTGTATAGTTTGTAAATGCACCCACGACACAGGAGAAAATCCTTGTGTGGGGCAAATAATTTAAATAAAATAAAATTTTTCGTTTCCCACGAGATATCTACAATTCTACATACAAATAATAAATCACAATATACACTTCCGGACACCTAAATCGAGCCACCTTGATTTTTTTGGTTTGGAGTACTGTAACTTGTAAAAAATCTATGTAGAAGGAAAATGTTTTGATGCAGTTCTGTCCATAGTCCATGTTCTGTACAAGACCATATTTGCTTTTTTCAAAGAAAAAGATTGCAAAAAAGCAAATATGGACTTGTTTCAACGTAACTCGACTTTTTTAACTCGTCGAGTACCGGTTTTATAGACACAATTAAAGAACAATAGGTCGCGGTCACTGGTGACCGCTTGGTGTTTGACAGTTTAATAAACTGTAGTTCAAATTTAGAACAGTGGCACTCTAAATGAATGTTTATTAAACCAGCTCCAGAACTGCATCAAAACATTTTCCTTCTACATAGATTTTTTACAAGTTACGGTACTCCAAACCAAAAAAATCAAGGTGGCTCGATTTAGGTGTCCGGAAGTGTATAAGCAAATAATCTTGATAGTAGGTACAAACAAAAGCTATGTTGCACAAGACCAAGCCAGGGGAACCTTCCGATGTCTGACACTGTGCCCTCAGGCATAGATTGCAGGGAATCTGCAGAGCACCGCAACCGCTCCCACATTACACCGGCACCGAGTTGAACTGAAAACAACATTACGTCAGAGGCTTTAGTACGAATTTGTTTTACGTTTAAAGTAATGGGGATGATGACAGGGTATGAAAATTAAAAATATAATTAGTCCGTAAGTTAGGTAATGAAAAAATATTAGACACGTATTTTTTTATTTTGTCGTATAATAAAACAATACTTAGATAAAACGAATCAAAGTTTAGGAGTGGGGGTTAAAACGTCATTTCTTAGTATAAAATGTACTGAGAAGTGACGTCACGCGACATTTCAAATCAATATATCTTCGAAACTATTCGTTTCTATGAGAAAATAAAAAATACGTGTCTAATGTTTTTAAATAATCTACCAGACGGACATTAAAATAAAAATTAGTCGTCTACCCTATTGTACCGAGTACGCGTTCGGCGCTGTGATTGGTTGGTTCATTGGCGCCGGCCAATCAGAGTGCCGAACGCGTACTCGTTACGAATACTTTAAACGTAAATGAAACTCGTACTAAGCCCTCAGACCTCAAGAGTCTATAATGCCTTGACACGCGGTAGGGTTTAAATATTATGTAGGTATCAATTTATGATTCCCAGGATATTTGATGACTAGCTTCTGTCAGTTTGTGTGTGTGTGTTTATACTTACTTCGAATGGTAATTAGTAATACCATTAGAGCGCACTGAAAATCTCCCATACTTAATAAATTCTTTTGAAGTAAAACGACCAGAATGATAACTTCAGTCCGCGTCACTAAACATGTTCAGGAACTGTTGAATTACAACTGAATCCGTTTGAATTCACAATGAATTAGATATTGAATGTTTACGAAACTTTCTTGTTTGTATTGAAACAATACTTTTCCCACCATCACACATTTTCAAGGTGTGTTATTTGTTTTGATGCTATTATTTGTTGGATTGGAACACACACTGTGCGACTTTATTTTGGTTTCCCAGTGGTCTGTATTCAACAGGAAGAGAAAGCACTTCAGAACATGTGAGAATATCGTGTTTTTTCGTGGGAAATGATAAATTATGAACATAAAGTAAGAAAAGAATGAAGGTAAATAAAAGTAGGTAAGCATTTATTACATACCTACTAACAAATAGGTGTTTTAACTCGTCGAGTACCGGTTTTATAGACACAATTAAATAACAATAGGTCGCGGTCACCGGTGACCGCTTGGTGTTTGACAAATTAAGTGAAATGATAATGATGTGAAATGTCCGTAACCTGATAACAGCAATTATTGATCATATCATTGATCACGTTACCTGGTTACCTACAGCCTACAATCACATAGATTTCGCTTTTCTGGCTGCCTACCCCTAAATGTAAAATGTTGCGTGACGTGTTTACCTTGCCTTTGCCAGCATTAAAAACTAATTGACATCAATCAAGGTGTCAAACTAAAAAAAACAAAGTATTTTAATAAAAAAATTTAACGAATGTTTAATCAAGATCAAATGACATAGAATGAAATTGACAATTTGACATTTGTATTTTCTATTGACGGTGATAGGCAATAAGATTTTGTGAATCACAATATTTACATAAAATACTGCGCAAATTTGAATAAAATTGCGCGTATTGTTAATTTTTAATGTGATTTATCATTATTGTGGTGAATTTGTTTTGATAGTAAAATATAACCTAGCAAATGCTGGTAGGATGCAGGTGGTAGCAAAAGTTCGTCTATTTCGGAGTCCTTACACAATATTCTTTATAACTGAGGACCTAAGCATCTTGCCTGATGAACAGTACTACAAGTCTATTGGTGTGAAGATAGGTGACTGTTGTGAACTGGAAATAGACGGAGAAGATGAAGTTAAAAAGAAACTAAGAGTGAGGACGAACGCGTTATTTCTACAGCCTTTTGTGAAGGAATGTGTGAACTCTGATGTGTACAGAGCCAATGTGGTATCACACTTGAACCGGCTGGGCGGATATCCGGCGTGTGGAACAGTGTTTTTGAAATTAATTCTGGAACCTCCAGATACAGAAATCATTGACTATGCTTGGTGAGCGTTGTGTACATATAAAATATAATTTGAACTGAAACATTTTTGCACTGCATTATTTATCTTAAAAACTGCTACACCACGAAGACTAAAGTCTAATATCTAAAATAATATACATCTTAGATTTTTATTGTGCGGAATACATCCAAACACACTTTGCAGCAATATATTTTAAAGTTAGAACTAAAAATTGAAATGAAACAACGGTGTACCTTTTATTTTTCAGGAATGAAAGAATCCTCCGTCTGATTTGGACAAGAGTTGAGATTGAGAATGCCTTTTCATGGCTGTCAACATTGGGAGGTGCCTATTCTGCTCTCGGTGACTATTTTGATCATTGTGTAAGTATTCAAAGATAGTTAAAGGAAAGATGTTCGTGAACGGGCACCATCAATTGGGACTGGTCAGCTCCAGACTATATGATTTAATGGTACACAAGGTTATTTTCTTTTACAATCTCTTTGACTGCATATAGGTGTTGCATTGTTCTCACACAATCGAACCAACAAAACTATGTAACTAGAGAATTGTATTGTAAATGTGATTGAAAAAGAGTAACCTATGGAGTTTCTTGCTTGTTCTTCTCCATTAATTTTTGTTGTTGATGTTCCTGGTTTTCTTGAAATAAATGAGAGACTTTGACTTTAGTGCAAATCAAATGTCAATTGCCCACCTCTCAATAACAACAATCACATGTTGTTATTGAGAGGTGGGCCATCATTATCCATTGTCCTTTACATGTATTCATTGGTGATTACACTCAGCATGAATTCATTCAAAAACTTATAGAAAGAAAGAAAGAAAATCCATTTATTTTGCTATGACACACAACCTATGGTGCGTCGCAGCGCACTTATCTGATTATTGATAAAGATTTAATCTTTCAGGCGGAGGAAGCAGGTAGAATATCACTCCGGCAATATAAGCTGTCCAGAATGCTTGGTGATGAAGGGTTGGCAGCAAGAAGTCGCCTTTACTCCGCACTCTCACAAGCCCAGAAAGGCAACCTACACATATCTAGGAACATAGTAAGGAATGTTGCAGAGTTTGCAAAAGAAACACACGACAAACGTT